ATTGATACTTAATTCATGACCAACGTGTGTGCAAAATTTAAAGAAAATATGAGCGTCTCACTTGGGGTACTTCCCTTGTTAGTATAATATTTTCGGTATTTCACCGCGTATTACCATGTACCTTTTCTCATTTCATGCTAGAAAGCGCATAGGCTCGTCCGCAGACGACGTCTCTGCGAATGGGATATTTTTTAACAGCTGGTATAGTTGTGACTTTTAGATACGAAAACTACATTCTTTCCAGATCAAAATACGATTAAGGCTTTGTTCGAAAACCGAAAAACAATTCTCCTTTGGCAGAATCTTCCATTTTGTATTGGCTCGCTTAAAAATATCGCCAAACTTTTTTCGTTCCGCCTGAAAAGTGTGGGCTACAAAATGCTCAAAAATTGAGGTATATGCATGGTAGATTAAAAAAACCATAGCCATCCATTTTTGAAATCACGCTTGCTACAAGGAAAACCCGGTTTCGCTACAGAGGTTCCGCTGTGAAGCTCATGAATACATATTTTGCGAGAAATTCGCCCACACGCTGCAAACATTTGGCCACATATCAAAATTTTTATGCTTTCCGTTCCCCCGTTGACAATCCACCTCATCGACAGTTTTTAATGCATCGCTAATTCGCTAATAAAACTTGCCATTTTATTGTCTACACTTTCACGTCCGTGCCCTCCGGGGGGTTTTTCTTTGTTTTCGGGGCGGTAAATTTGATTTCCCCGAAAAACAGCAGACTCTCCGAATTTCCCGCGAATTTTGCATGTGTTTAAACGAGCCCATGAATCTGCCCTTCGTTCGGAGTTTTGTGCCCTGAGGTGCTGCGTAAGCGGATAACTCTCGATCCTTGGTCGGGATTTTTTTGGGGATTTTTGGAGTCATCAGAAAGACAAATTGGAAGTTGCATTTGAAGATTTGAAGGTTTTAAAAAAAGGCGGCAAAAAAATGAATAAAAAACTTTTTTGCCTGTCCGTCCCTCCTCATCTGCAGTGCTCTATCGCCTTCAAAGATTGTTGAATATCTCGGCTGCCTCTGCAAATGACGAGCTAGGATTTCTAGGCTTTATTTTCCAGTGCATTTCACCTAATTCTACATACTTTTAGGGCATTCTACAACTTCTTATTCATTGCCAAAATAAAATTGTTTTCAGTCCTCGACGAATTTGTTTTGTACTTTCTTTGCAAGCCTTGAGTAAAACAACTCAATTTTTCTCTGATTCCGTTCGTCTCCTTTGTATTTTCATTCATCAAAGTCCTCTCCTCCCCCCTAAAACCTCACCTTTTCTTCGGCCACATAACCTTTGTCAATTTGCCCGGCCATTATAACCGAATTCTCGAACGGCCATATGTCTCAACAATAAGTTTTCTACGTTTAGTAGACCGCCCTTCCCACGGATCGCCGGATCTCCATAAACCCCCATGTTTTATGGCCCGAGGCCAGTTCACGCATTTGCATTTTTGGCCGCAAATTCGAATCGCTTTCGGAAAACGGCGGACGAAAAAAAGCGGCGGGGAAAGGGAACGGCCCGTAAACAAATAGGATTACATTTTTGGCGCTACACTTGTAAACCGATTGAGTGCCGTGTTTATTGAGTGTCGCCGGCGGCGTCAGACTTATCGGCCGATCATTTCCCCCGAGGCGAAAGGAACTCGGGGTTCCGCGAAATGCCCGCACTGCCACTTATAGGGTTTGGGTTTGGGAAGTTTAAGGGTTCTTTTGGTGGGGTTCGGCGAGGTTACCGTTCTCCAAATTCTGGTTGTTCAAGGGGCATGTGAAATTGGTCGATTGATGAAAGGATCGAGTTGCAACGCTCATATTTTTTTTTCAAATTCTGTCTACTGAATCTACGTCTTTTGTAAGACCCTGTAGTGGCTAAGAGAGCACGCAAAACGCGGAGAGCGGTCATAGAAAAAGAGTTTTTAACCGTCTCTTTGCCAGTTTTGTGCAGAAAAAATGATTTTTTATGGAAACATTACGCTCTATGGTAGAAATAGGCATGAAATTTTTCATGTCAAAATTCGCAAAAAATTGTCATATTTTTCCAAGTTTCAAGTAAAAATTCTCGGTCTTTTCTGCAAAACGCGATCTAGGAATCCCACATATTTCAAAGAAAAAATAGTCTAATTTTGTCGCAAATTTCACCAAAATCTGAGCGTGCACTTGCAGCACTTCTCCTGTTTGCATAGAAAATTTTCTACAGCCTAGTGTGTGACCTAACCCACGTTCTGATCCCTTGTATTATTCATCAAATTCCCAAGTTCATGAGTCCCAAATCTCCGGAACATATCATCTCCACGCTCTTCCCACGAGCCTCTGTTTGCCTTTTATGCTATTTCTGAACTCCCGAATATATTCCGTACATGTTCCCTTCACTAACACGGTCGTCCACATTTCCTGCCCTGATTAACCTCTGGCCTACGCATAGCGGATATTTGATAGGCCCGGAGACAAGAATCCAATTCCCAGCAAATGCTATTTTACTTTTTCTTTTGTCTTCAGTTTCAGTCCGTCGGACTTTGAGGTTTATTGCGATAAGACTCGGCCGATTTGCCGAGCTTTGCCGGGGGGAAAGAAGCGGGGTTGGGAGCTTCCAGGATCTTCGGTTGGAGACTTGTTTGTTGGCTTTTTATGTTAATATTTGGTCTTGGCGAAGAGCTGAAAACACAATATAAAACACCACATAGTCTGCAGGGTACATACATACATAATTTTTTTCCAGCGTCTAACGTAATCTTTGGTCAAAGTAAGGAACTTGAACTTGGTTGTCTGTTGAAAGAGCTAGGGATAAATTGGGATCAGGACTTGCCCAGAGACCTCTATGCTTGCTTGGTTTCACACCGAACAGGTACAGTGGGGGACCTGATCCAGTGGCAAAACACGTACCATTTTGCATCCAGGAAGTATCAAAAAATGTGGCAAAATACCTCCCTCTCCAAGTGAAAAAACTCAGATTTCAAAAGCGCTCATTTTATGAGGAAAAAGAGCGCGTCCTTTTCGTCTTCTAAACGAAGTTTTTTAGTTGGAGAGGGAGGCATTTTGCCACATTTTTTAATACTTCCTGGATGCAAAATGGTAGGTTTTTTGCCACTGGATCAGGTCCTCCACTGTAAAATAAAAAGTCACACCGCTTGGTAACTGAGGGTCTGAGAAAGGCTGAGAAAGGCAAATTCCTCTATATGAACAAATTTTAAGGCCTAAAGATTATACTCGTTCTCTTAGATCATACTATAATATATTAGTAAACATACATTATACGGAGAATTATCTCACGTCAGACTTTTATAAGCGACAGTTTTTTATTGACCATTTCCCTTTACGTCTCTCTTTTAGACAAAGTTGATGATCATCTCTTCTTTAGAGCCTCGTCATTCAAATCCACAACCGTTTCCACACGCCTCATCTGCTACCGAATCCGGATTATTATGTTTTGGGTTTTGCAAGAGACGTTCTTTGTCTGCTTTTGGGTAAAACACAGGAACAAGTCTCAAATAGCCGTACGACAATCAAAGATTGCGATTCACGGCAGTCTTTTACGAAGGAATTCTTGGAGAATTTTTAAACTTTTAATTGTCTCATCATATCTCCCATATTCTGAGCATTTGTGATGCCATCGCTTCACCGATTACTAATACTTGCAAAAGCACTCAAAACAAATTCATATTCTCCCATGTTAACACTCATAGATATCTATAATAATACTCTAGAATTCGGATACCCCCGCTTCAAAGTGCAGTTCCACTTACAACCAATTAGGGTCCATTTTTCACGTGACTCCGTTTTTAGCTTCGGGGCTTTTTACCCTCAATTACCGGCACGGGGTTGTAAACAGGATGTAAACAAACACTTGTGTGTGAATTCATAAATTTTTAAGGATGGGTCCGAAAGAAACATCTTTTCGGCGCAGCGGGAGAGAGAGGAGTAAAACAAGGAAGAAGTGTGACGTCACGGGCCGAGGTTTTATTTTATGGGACGATGATTTAAATGTTCCCTTGTTTTCCATGGTGGGTGGATGATTATGGAAAACGAGGGGCGTTTTTTATGTTGACAAGAGCGGTGATGACGGAGATTGTAGTTTTTGACTGTGTTAGTAGTCATTTTATATTGCTTTGAGTATATATTGATGGGTGTTGGGAGTTGTCAACAATTTTTTTTGCTATTTTTTTTATAAAACGAGATTTTTACCCCTCGTTTTTCGAACATGAGCAGGACTGGGAAACACGACTTTCCCGATGTCATCTTTTTTCTACACTTCCTTATTTCAGGTTCTACTTCTGCCGTTTTTTATAAAAAATTTACAGAACATTCAATTCTTACTCTCAAACATCCTAAATTGAGTATTTTTCCCGAAGACTTAGCACGTCAATTCAGCGCGAAGCTGTTTTTTGGCCAAGGTTTAATCGATGTGGTGTTTCGTCACAAATAATTTTTTACACATGCATACATAGATATGAATCTTGCTGTTTTACTCTTGGCTAGCCGGGAGAAATCCTTGCTCTCTGGTCGTAAACTAATGTTTGTTTATATTTTTTTGATTTTTGAGACTAAATTTTGGTCATCAAAAATTTTACCGTAAGAGTTTTAAGAAATAAGAAATCTGGTCGCCAATCGATAGTGTGTGGATGAAACTTCTAAACGGGCCGGAAAACGCCCTGGATTAATGTGTGGAGGACATACAACTTTTTAATTTTGTTTTTCTCTCTTACAGCTTTGTTATTTAGTTTATAAAAACCGACCAGAAATAACCCGCGCTATCTTGACTATTTTTTGAATATCACAAAACATGTTCAACATGTTCTATTGCTCCATCCAACCTGGCAATTATCCCTTTAGCTCATTCTTGATAATGTACCCCACAATTTACGGTATTGTTCTTGTTTATATACATACATAAAAAGCGTATTTCCCTTACATCATCATTTTCGAGATCTATTATTTTACATTTTTCGAGAAACTGCTGAGTTGCCTTTTTAAAACTTGCTTACCCCTTCAGCACTTCCAACTACATGAATGCGCGGAAGACGGACTTCAAAGAACACCTTAAGGCCGAGTTCAAAGGCGAATTGGGGCCGCTGCACGAGATCGATCGCGATGAAAATGAATTCTGTACCCGACTGAAGAAGAAGACTCGGGTTTATTGCCCTGAGGGCAGTGACAGAATGCTGGGGGTATGGCTAATTTATTTCGTGGTCTCCATTGCGCTGTGCATGAATGTTTATGTGCTGCTGAATCGAGTGGACACCATCTTCTATCTGAGGCTCTATCAGTTGGTAAGCTTATGATGGCTTGTTGAAAAATCAGAGGCTTTCAAGACGCGACAAGAAAATTTTGTTGGATTCTAAAGCATAGTTTGCCGTAGTTTACTTATTATCAGTCTGTCGGGAAAATAGTGACCACAATATCGTTTCGCGCTGAAATGAAAAGCAATTTGATTTTGTTTCAACACAATTAATGTTCGATGCGACTTTCTGTGCTACAGGGTGCTCATTATTTTCCCGACAGACTGATTTTGATATGTTGACAGCAGCAGTAGGGATATACGGCTGTTATTTTGTTCGAGAGAGTATGTAAAATTAGGAGACTCTGCCAGGCAAAAAACAGTTCTTTTGGCCACGGTTTTGCGAATTTAACTTGCGCAATAAACAACGTACAAATACCCATCTTGACCTTCTTGACCTAAAAGTCACAAACAACGCCAGAAAATTTTAGTTTATGCCGTGAAAGATTTCACTCTTTTTGAGTCCTAAAAGCTCCGAAATTGTATCAAAATAGCCTAATAATTCTTAATCTGCAGGTAGTCTCGATGATCATGATCATAACCACCTTTGTAATGCTCGAATTTATGTGGTTTGCCCGCTGCAATGTGGCCAAGTTATACCGACCACACACTCTTCCACGGCCCATGTTATTCAGCGGTCTTATGTTGACCGTCGGCATTGTGCTCGGCTACGCCTATTTTGTAGTCTTCAACTTGACATTTAAAGTAAGTTTTTGGCTGTAGAATAATGAAGCTGCTAAACTAATTTCGTATTTTACACTGTTCTCAAAATTTAGGACTGTGATGAGCTGGTAGATGCTCATGATCAAAACGAAGTGTGGCTGGAGATAATCTACGACGTTACGATGATTTTGTTTTGCATTCTTAGCTTCGTTTATCTAATGCAGCGGTCGTATTACGGAACGTTGAATCAAAAGGTGGATCATCTGCGGAGATTGTGGATCAACGCCGCAGTTTACATCGTGTGGCTGCAAGTGGTGGTGAATAAGGGCTATTTGAGTCATCAGGTAGGCTTATATAGTATATAATAAATAAATTAACCTCTTGAAAACACTGATTTTTTGGTTTATGAATCAAAATATGCAATTTCAGACGCTATGCCAACGAAAAGAACTGAACGGGTCCATGTGGTGCCCAGGGGTTCAGCGGCAATACACTTGCAACACCTCGGACTTACAAGGAACCCGTCAAGTGTGGTATTATTTGAACAAGGGCCTTCTCAGTTCGGCAATCACTGCGTGTGCTTCCGAATTCTTTCCAGTGGTCCTAGTTGCTCACTGGTTGGTTTGCGGAGGTGCTGAGGAGAGAGCAGAAGATTTGATTCGAAGACAACGGGTAAGAAGGGAGTGTAGTTGACACTAAAAACCGCTTGGCTTGATTTGATGACTTTTTTGGACAACGAGGTCAGAAAACTATCCAAAAAATGTCGAACATGCAAAAAAGTGGCTGTTTTTTTGAGGAGAACTTACCCCAAGTGCGACGCTCAGATTTTGATAAAGCTTGGCACAAATTTAGAATATTTTTTTCTAAGTTGTATGCGATAATCCTAGCTTGCGCTTAGCAGAAATAACCGAGATTTTTTGATCGAAAGTCGGCAAAAATTTGCCAATTTTTGCAGAACTTTGACACGAAAAGTTTCATACCTATTTCTACCGCAAAGGATAGTGTTTCCGCAAGAAATAGATTTCTTCCGTGCAAAACTAGCGAAGTTATGGTGTTTTTTCTCTGAGCGCTCTCCGCGTTTAGCATACTCCCTCGGCCGCAAGGATTGTTGAATATCTCGGCTTCGCCTTCAAAGCGCGAGATAAAACTTTGAGGAATTGATATTTAGTCTATTACCGACGTGTGTGCAAAATTCAAGGAAAATCTGAGCGTCGCACTTGGGGTACTTCCTTTGTAAGTTTGGTCATTTTTCTGATAAACTAAGGCTCTAAAAAGGCCATAAAATGTCTTCAGCTGGCCTAATAGACTTTCAAATTTTCTCTAGGCCTTATTTACCGTTCAATTAGTAGTTATATCGACAAATCGGGATGATTATTGTGCTATATAAACCTGAATTTACAATGTCTTCAATTTTCAGCAAAAGAAGAGTGTCCGCCGAGTCCTGCAGCGCTTTATCACGGATATTTCTCGAGTTGTTGGAGGCAGGGCGAAGAAGCCACCAATGCCTCCACTAATAACCTCGCCCTTCCTCCAAACGTGCCTTATGATCACTGCGTGGACCTCCGGAATCTTCGTTGTCGGCCAATGGTTCGTCCGATTTTACTACACCATTCTGTTCGACAAACTTCATGCTCAAGGCTGGATGACCGACTACTATGTGCAGATTGGGGTGGGAATCATGCAGGTCATCTTTCATGCAATGGTAAGTACTGACACCACAAAAAATTCAACTTTTTTTAATTGTTTTAGGTGTTCCATTGGGCGGCCAAAGTTGAGGAACGCCGATTTGACGCTTATCACAAGGCTGAAGCCCGAGGCGATGTGGTTTTAATCCTGGGATGCTGTATTTTACTGACAATCAAGTTTGTTCTTCAAGTGGTCGAAATGGATTATCAAAAGAATGATGGGTTTTTGAATAGTACCGGATTTGTCATGAGGATCTTTGGACTTCTCACAACGACCGTAAGTTTGATTTTGTTACAATCTTCAAAACTTAGATACAAAACACACTCGTATCGCTTTAAAAAAACGGAAAAGATTACGGCATGTGAGACCCTAGTGAAGTAAAAATTAACTGTGTAAAAAATGACTTCTTTTCACACTGTTCCCTCTCCTTTTGCCCTCTCGAAACGCCACAGTAAAAGAGCGCTCGAGGGCCGCGGCGAGATGGCCGAGTGGTCTAAGGCGCTGGTTTTAGGCACCAGTCTCTCCGGAGACGTGGGTTCGAATCCCACTCTCGTCAGAAACTGTTTTTTTTATTTTTTTGGTAATTATTCTTCTAAAAAAATATATCGCGTATGACAAAGCCTGTAAAATTTTTTGAGTCTCTTATATCCAAAAAAAAATTGAAAATGTTAAAATTCAAATTTCAGGCCTCCCAATGGCTCCAATTCTTCTCTCTACGCCGAATTCTGGCGCTAAGTAACCGCGATATGAAAGCCAGCCGACGATTCTTACCCAGCATTGCCATAGCATCATTTATGGCCAACGTGGTCAACTTTGGGCTGACTTATTTCGAAACGACCATCATCAAATATCAGATCGGCCACGAAAAGGAGTTTGGGTTCAGCGCGGTGACTTTGATGAGCATGATTGTCACACAGATCCTATACCCGGCCGATTATCTCTACGCGTTCACTGTGGCTGGATGCTGGATGGATCTGATTTATCGGTAAGCCGAGATTTTTACATATTATATCGTATTGTATCTTATATTACATATAGTCATTTTTCGGATCAAATGTATGTAAAATTTGTCTCTTTCCCGCAAAAAACTCGAATTTTGGCTTTAAAAATGTTCTTCCTTTCATCACATTGACTTAGATTACATTGAGCTTACTGTAATATCTCTTTTAGATACACCAGAATCGGCTACTTTCAACTAGGACCCCCTCATCTGGATCAACAGCTCGAATTCGACTTATTCGAAGACCGTCGAAACTCGGTCAAAGCCAATCGAAAAGTCTCCAAATATCGTCACTCAATGCCCGACATTGCCATCAACGGAGTCATAGATTGATATCAAAAATGAATCACTATCTAGGGTTGTTTTATTTGTAATATTCAAAGTCTTAACTAATTCAGACATGCCAATAAGAACATATAATAAACGGGTATAATGATTGCAATCTCATCTCTTTGCCAGACGAATTACATTATAAAACAGGCATTGCTCTGTGACACCACGTTTCGATCCACTAATTCCCATCCGCATCCCGACTTTTCGGGTCGACGGCAGTTTGAGACATCAGAAAAAACGATCGATACGAGGCCTAGGGCAATTGGATACCCGAAAGGAGGTTGTAGGAAGTGCCTACGAGGCCTGGCAAAGCCGTTGGATGGTCGACTGACGCTCGGCGAAGCACGGCGGAGACTTGGCGAAGATTTGCAATACTTTTTCTAATCTTACAGGTGAAGCTCCAAGTGCGACGCTCAGATTTTGATGAAACTTGGCACAAATTTAGGATAATTTTTTCTAAGATATATGCGAGAATCCTAGCTCGCGCTTTGCAGAAACAACCGGGATTTTTAGATCGAAAGTCGGCGAAAATTTAGGACTTTTTGCTGAATTTCGGCACGAAAAGTTTCATGCCTATTTCAACCGTAAAGGATAATGTTTCTACAAAAAATCAAATTTTTCCGCACGAAACTGCCAAAGTTATGGCCAAAAAGCGCTTTTCTCTCTGACCGCTCTCCACGTTTAGCGTGCTCTCTCGGCGGCAAAAATCGTCGATATCTCGGCGGCGCCCGCAAAGCGCGAGCTAAAACTTTCAGGAATTGATATATAGTCCATATCCGACGTGTGTGCAAAATTTAAAGAAAATCTGAGCGTCACACTTGGAGTACTTCCTCTGTTAGCTATTACTAACGTTAGTTTTTTTACCCTAACTAGGAAAGTGTACATACGAACCCTCACCAAATGATAAGTGACATACGTCATTGAAGTGCCTTTGAAAACTGGTAGAAGACACCATTTTTTAGTGGATTATTGTAACGTAAAACAGACCAAAATTTACGGGAAAAAATTAAGATTTGTAACTTTTGTCTAGATATTATTGAGTACATGTAAATTATACCTCAAAATAGGTGATAAGCTATCGTAAGACCCAATCAATCTTATTATTTCTACTAACTAACCCTTCTCCTACCCACACCCATGCATGACAACGACGAACCGACATGATTCATAGCATCGTTGACCAGAAATATCGCTGACCCGAAAAGTCGTAGTGCCTACACATCGATAGGTCAATAAATCTCGTTTTTTTCAAATTAAAATTTAATTGATTTTTTCTGTGTTTTGTGGTTGCAACCCAAAATTGGAATGCTTTCAAATGTTGAACGCACAAGGCTCTTGAATTGTTGTTTTTTGTAATTTAGCGGCGATTGCAGCACTCACTACAAGAAATGAAGCGATCACTTATGCCGCTTGATATAAGAACCGCGGCGTTTCACGAGTTTAAGACGAATTGTTTTTGGGGATGTTGCGGTTTTTCTAACTGTTCGTTTTTGCTGTAAAATAATAAGTAACAGATAAGTAAAGCGGTCTCCCAGGGGGATAAAGTTCGGTGGTTCTGAAATAAGGTCTTCCTTTGAATTGGAGATATCAGACCTGCTTTTTCTCGGGGAAAAAGCCATCTCTGGAAAATTAAGAAAGCGTTGATTTGCCCTCATTTTCCTCAAGTAAACGCATACTCTGTGTGGCCAAATAGAGAGAAACCTCCGTATAACGAACAGTTTCAGAGATATCAAGGTTCATTTTTGAGGCTAAATTACATCTTACATTGCACTCCTTTTATAACAAAAAACTTTGAATTTTTTTGGCCTCTTGCGATTCGTTGTATTGAGCTTTTACTGTACATATCAGTCTGTCGGGAAAGTAACGGCGGATCGTCGCGTCAAAATGTCTCGCCTCGCCGCTATCGCGCACCAAATTCCCAGCCGCGGTTTGAAGTTATTCCGACTTCCTCATTGTTAAGACTATTTGATTTGTGACTTTAATTTCCAAAACCGAATTCTGGAAACTCAAACTCAATTAGTCGGTTAATTCCCGCTTTCCTAAAATTGCAAGAAACCTCTTCCTCGTGTAGATGTTAGAGAAGTAAAATAAACACACACGCGGTTTTTATTGCCAATTTTATACGCAAATATTATTTAGATCAGACGTATTGCAATCAAATTAAAGATGGTCGAGAACACCGGGTAGGTGGCTTCAAGTTAAATATATGTTTTTTAACCACAATCTCCGCCATTTCCGGCTTTCAGATTTTTCAAAAATAAAGTAGTTCTGTTGTCCGGCGGCTCTCGAGGAATTGGCCTGGCCATTGCCAAGAAATTGGCCAAGGATGGAGCAAAAGTTGTGATTGCGGCCAAGACCGCCGAGCCTCATCCAACGCTGCCAGGTAGGCATTAAAAAATATTGCTTTTTTATTTATACTACATAGTATTTATGGATATATATACATACACATACTCTTCATTGCCGCTCACTTTTTCCCCTTTACTTCAGGCACGATTTACACAGCGGCCAAGGAAATAGAAGAGGCCGGAGGACAATGCCTCCCAGTTGTGATGGACGTCCGTAAAGAAGCCGACATTCAGAAGGCCGTAAAAGCGGCGGTCGATCATTTCGGAGGGATCGATATTCTGATCAACAATGCTTCGGCGATTGGATTAACAGGGACTTTGGAGACAGACATGAAAAGATACGACCTGATGCAACAGATCAATACGAGGGGAACGTTTTTACTGTAGGTTGGAAAGGTTGTTGGTCTTTGAAAAAAAGAATTGGGGTTGAATTTCCACTAGGGGCTTCACTTGAATTTTTTAGTTTTTGAAGAAGTAACATGGATCTTTACTATGTATTGTTTGTCAAAAGACTAGTGTCTGAAAAGTCACCTTGGCAGTTCCTTCAAAAGACTTGCTGGATTATGAGGATTGAACTTCGGATCTGTGCGTAGCTCTTGAAAAGATCTAAAGCGTACCTCTATCACCCACTCATTAGGCCAAAAAAGGCCAGTAGGCTCTTTAGAAAGCATTAAGATCTTGTCTTTATGTCTTCTGCTTACTCAATCTTTAATTTTCAGCTCCAAGACCTGCATCCCCTACCTCAAAAAGTCCTCCAATCCCCACATCCTCAACATCTCCCCACCTCTTCTCATGGACCCGCAATGGTTCCAATACCACACCGCCTACACCATCGCCAAATACGGAATGAGTATGTGTGCGCTGGGAATGGCCAAGGAGTTGGCAGACGACGGAATCGCCGTCAACTGTTTGTGGCCAAGAACCGGGATTTGGACGGCGGCCATAAAATTGACCAACAAAGAAAAGGACGCGCAAAAATATTGCAGGAAAGATACGATCATGGCAGATTCGGCGTACTTGATTCTCAGTCAAGACAGTAAAAAATTCACGGGAAGATTTGTGATCGACGATGAGATTCTGCAAGAGAATGGGGTCACTGACTTTGATCAGTACAAATTCCATAAGGATGATGCAGTCGCGTATGATTTCTTCGTGCCTGGAGTCAAATACTATGGACCGCTTGTTAAGTCTAGAATGTAAATCGAGTGTATCTAGACAGTCATCATATTATACTTGCCATTGAAAAAGTCGATTTTCTTGTAAATAAATATTTGTCAGCTCAATAAAACTAATATTTTTTGCAGTTATGTAAAATGATATTTATTTCTATGAAAGATCATATTTTCACTTACAATAAGCACATTAAAAAACTGTTTAATTTTTTCACCGCAATCAGTCAAGATATTTTTTCCAATAAACGGCTTTTTTGACGTTGACTACAGAAAGTGAAGTTATCGCCTTCACACGCGTTGTATAACAATTCTAGCAAACAAGATGATTGTTTTTCCACGTATTTTCCCCTTGAAATTTACCAGTAATTAAATTGGGACAGCCTTTTCAGCATCTTGCAATTTTTTAATAAGGCATTACAAGTTTTTTAGTTTACGAATTAAATTTGAAAGTTCAATAAAATTTAAAATTTGAACATTGCTCGATTTTGTTACAGTTTCAACCAGTTTTCCGGTCTTTGATTTCCGATCATTTTTTACCGTCTTTTGAGTCAAAATCCTAACCTAATTACCCTTTGCCGCAACGTTTAACTGGTCCATCAATGAACGGATTTTTTTTGATATAATATTTCAGACTGTTGGGGTTTTGCTGCAATCAAGTTGAACGGCATGGTGGACAATACTGGGTGAGTAAATGCTACTAACTTGTTCCTCCGACAATGAAACCCTTTTTTGACAAACAAAGTTTTCATTCTCTTTCCAGCTTTCGTATAATGGTTCTACTGTAAATAACAACCCAAATAAAAGAAAAATCCCAATTTTAGATACTTCAAAAACAAAACCGTCTTCATTTCCGGTGGGTCCCGAGGCATTGGCCTTGCGATTGTCAAGAAACTCGCCAAAGATGGAGCCAACATCGTCATAGCCGCCAAGACTTCAGAACCTCATCCTACCTTGCCAGGTAGCCAAAGGTTTTCTCTACTACATACATTATATATTTATGTTCAATTTTCTTTACTGTCTTTTCTCAGGCACAATTTACACCGCGGCCAAAGAGATCGAAAAGGTTGGAGGAAAGTGTCTTCCGGTGGTGATGGATGTCCGAAGTGAAAGTGATATTCAGAAAGCCGTAAAAGCCGCTGTAGATCATTTTGGAGGAATTGATATTCTGATCAATAATGCCTCCGCAATCGCCCCAACTGGAACGCTGGAAACAGAGGCGAAACGATACGATTTGATGCAACAAGTGAATACAAGGGGAACTTTCTTACTGTAGGTTGTATGTAGGTATAATATATACAAGGCCTAAAAGTCTTCTCAACTAGCCGTTGAGGTGTTGAAAAAGCGTTGAAACTATGAAGCATCGAATTATCAAATGGGTGTAAGGAGGCCTGCTAAAAATGATAAGTCATCATAAATAATATATCCTCCGTTAGTGTAAAACAAAGTGTGATAAATAAGGTCTTCAATGCAACAAGTGCTTGCTAAATCTTCGTCCTACTTGTTAACAATTAAGACTCTTAATTTTCAGCTCCAAAGCCTGCATCCCATACCTCAAAAAGTCCTCCAATCCCCACATCCTCAACATCTCCCCACCCCTTCTCATGGAACCCCAATGGTTCCGCTATCACGTTGGCTACACCATGGCCAAATACGGGATGAGTATGTGTGTTCTGGGAATGGCCGCTGAATTTGAAAGCGACGGAATCGCAGTTAACGCGTTATGGCCAAGGACCTCCATTTTGACGGCGGCCATTCAAGTGACTCACAAGGATAAAGATGCCTCTGAATTTTTGCGAAAAGACACAATTATGGCCGATTCTGCTTATGTGATTTTGAGCAAAAATAGTCGAGAATTCACAGGGAAATTTTTGATTGATGATGAAATTCTGAGAGAACACGGGATCCGCGACTTTGATCAATATCAATTTGTTAAAGGTAATGTTAAAAAATAAGTGAAAAAACAGATTTCAGTACGTTCATGTACGTATTGAAGTTTTTATAAATGTTCCAAAAGAATCAAGATCGAAAAATTCAGTGTTCTAAATCGCCTTTATAACCTTGGAATTTTTAATTGTTTTCAGGCAACAAATTGATCGCCGACTTCTTCGTGCCCGGCGTTGTGTATACGGGGCCATTTACCAGAGCCAAAATCTAGCTTTCTCCAAATTTTTTGTTGATTCTTTAAATTTTATCGACGAATAAATGATTTATATTTGCCTCTGTGAAACTGTGCCTTTCAACGTCTCCGTTGTTACACCTTATGATGTTTTATATTCACTTCCGCGATATGTGTGGTCGATTAGACTTTGTGCATTAACAGTTTTTAGCAACTCAATGAAAACGAATCTATTTTAACCACACACTTTTTAAGACTAATAAAAAACAACCGTAGGCCCGTAGTCTCAAGTTGCGGTCATCGAAGGTGGCATTACACTACCGAAAGTCAAGGGCATTCCCAGTAATTGTTACAATATAAAAACCTACTTTTTTGAGTAGGAGATTCTTTTTTTGTTCCTCGTTGCACGTCGAAGTTGTTGGTGGTTTTGGTTACTGTAATATTTATTTTATTTATCAACCGTGTTTGTAGCGTGCCACAAGGAGGACAGCGGAGCAGGGGGGATAGTTTTTTTACGCAATTTTTTGCATAGCCCGCTTGAGTTTGCAATATATTACATATAGTTGAGCCAAAGGTTTCAAACGACATTGAGGTGGAGCTAAACTACAAAACATCGAATTGCAAGAGATCGAGCAGATTCGTGTTGACTTAAAATTGACCTTTGAGATTTCTGACCTGATTTTACAGGCTTAGTTGTACGCTAGTTCCTTGTAAAAGGTTAGATTCTACTTTTGATGTCAATTTAGTTTGGGCAGGTTTATTCATAGCGGGGTCCTTGACTGTTTGTGTTTACGACGTTGAAATTATGCATTTTGTTTTATGTTTATACATACAACTCAAAGCCAATAAGATCTTTTTTTTAATATTGTAAACCGCTTCTAAATACTGTAACATGTGGTCTTCAACTGCTTCCAGTGTGGTCGGTAAACAACTTTTTTGCTGACAAGGCGTTTGATTGATCGTTCTAGAGGAGAATACATTCCGCAGTGATCTCTTTTTAAGAATAAAAATTCCTTGTAAAAGTTTGTATTGCAGGAGTGGTCAGCTCTGTCGAGGCAAAGAATAGAAGACATGGTCGAGAATACGGGGTAAGGTGGCTGAAATTAAATCCTGAAAAAATTGTTTTGCTGTATAAGGTCGATCTTGTAGGTTTTTCAAAAACAAAACAGTATTTATCTCCGGCGGATCCCGAGGAATTGGGTTGGCAATTGCCAAGAAACTGGCCAAGGATGGAGCGAATATTGTAATTGCTGCCAAAACCGCCGATCCTCATCCAATTTTGCCAGGTAATTTCAGCTACAAATACGACTATTATTCCCCAATTTAGGTACAATTTACACTGCGGCAAAGGAGATCGAAGATGCCGGAGGGCAATGTCTTCCAGTTGTGATGGACGTCCGGAAAGAGAAAGACGTTCAACGGGCTGTGAAAGCGGCGGTAGAGCGTTTCGGCGGGATTGATGTGCTGATCAACAATGCCTCGGCGATATCGCTGACTTTGACTTTGGAGACAGATATGAAACGATACGATCTGATGCATCAGGTCAATGCGAGAGGAACGTTTTTACTGTAGGTTGGAAAAGTTGATAACCTTTGAAAATAGAAAATGCGGCTCAATTTCTTCCGGCGGCTTAACTTGAATTTTGTAATTCTCGATGAAAAAACTTGGTCTTTTACTGTGTAATTTTTCTTTGTTTGCCAAAAGCCTATTGCCTAAATAGTAACGTTGGCAGTGCCTTCAAAAGGCTAGCTGGATTATGAGGTTGAATCTAGGCTAGGTGAGAGAATTCGCAAGGACGCAAAGAGTGTCGCACACCTCTCATTTTAGGTATCAGTGGATAGACCTGGCTTAAAAAGGCCAGCAGACTCTTCACATAACACCCCGACGTTCTTCTCGTGTGCTGCTAGTCAAATTTTTAATTTTCAGCTCCAAGACTTGCATCCCCTACCTCAAAAAGTCCCCCAATCCCCACATCCTCTGCCTTTGTCCGCCACTTTTGATGGAGCCAAAATGGTATCAATATCATGTCGCCTACACGATTGCTAAATACGGAATGAGTATGTGTGTTGTGGGGATGGCCGCAGAGTTCAAGGAGGACGGAATCGCCGTCAACTCGTTATGGCCAAGGACTTCGATTTGGACAGCAGCCGTAAAAATAACTAATGTCGAGGAGAATGCGCAGAATTACTGCCGAAAAGATACGATTGTAGCTGACGCGGCGTATGTAGTTTTAAGTAAGAAAAGTCGGGAATTTACCGGGCAATTCGTTTATGATGATGACATTCTGAAGGATTATGGAATCAGCGACTTTAACCAGTACAGTTTTGTGAAAGGTGAGTGGGGTTATAAAGAGATATTGTCTTCGTAATATTTCATAAGAATCATACTGAGCACGAAAAAATGTATGACAATTTCAGATGGGAAACACCGAAGCGACTTCTTCGTGCGAGGCGTCGATTATAAAGGTCCTTTTAACCGACCAAAACTTTGATTTTTTCGTAAACTACACCTCTATATTATAATTTAAGGGCGTTATTTTCAATATATTTTAATAAATTACTTTTATTTTCAACAAAAGCGAGCTGACATATAATATACAAGGGATTCAAAACTCCAAAGCAGAGGTCGTAGAGTGTGACATGTTTTACGATGAAAAGATACATGTCACAACCTATTTTGAAATTTTTTTGTTGTATAAAATGTCACCCATCGTCGTCTTGAAAGATTTTTGTGTTTCTACAAAAAATCAATTTTTCCCGCGCGAAACTAGAAAAGTTATGGCCAAAAAGTGTTTTTCTCTTTGTCCCTCTCCGTGTTTAGCGTACTCTCTCTGCGGCGCCTGAAAAGCGCGGGATAAAACTTTCAGGAATTGTTATTTAGTTCATGCCCGACGTGTGTTCAAAATTTGAAGAAAAGTTTAGGAGGTGCCCTTTAGGCCCTATCGGCTCACAGCAATCTTTCGCAATGTAAAAATTTCCTAGCTGTAAAACACCCCTGGTTAATCTTGAGAGCAATAAACTGCAGAAACCGGTGACAATGCGTTGTGATACACTATACAACAAGTATTTGCACAATTCGTCGAAATTGAAGATCGTCAACGATTACTATAGCTTTTCCATTGTTTTACTGGTCGAATCTTCGAAAAATATTTGGTCTTCAGCAGAGATTGCCACGGTCAAAATTTTGGCTCCGGCTCGGGCTCTTGGCTCCGTGCAAAATTTGAAAAGGCCTCCGGCTCCGATTCCCGGCCCCCAGCCGGGAAATCTTGGCTCGGAGCCGGAGCCAAGAGCCGGCTCCGGAGCCGTGGCAATCTCTGGTCTTCAGCCCAAACGCCAAGTGAATGGCCGTCCGCTGACTTCCAGTAATCGTTGAGGATCTTCAATTTCGACGAATTATGCAAATATTTGTTGTATAGTGTATCACAACGCATTGTCACCCACGTGTCCATAATGCAGCACATTGGACTACAGTATAGCGAGCAGAAAGTGGCTAAACGTGGGGGCATTACTGCGTTATTAGTTAATGTGCTCACGTAGGTTGCAATATTTTCCGCATTTCCCGTAGGTGTTGTTGCATTCCGCATCAGAAATGCTGATCTCAGAGGTCGTCAAGGAAAACTGAAAAGCCATCTCTTGTTTCCCCGTCCCAACAAATAAAGTGTCGGCTGTAAACTTGCAAAGGTTACACGTTAATTTTATATTTATAAACAAGGAAAACATTACCTACACAATGCCACCATGGAAGGTGTTACTGGGATTTCAACAACACTTGTTGCTGCAAGTCGTTGACATAGTATCAAAACAAAAGGGAAGAGAAACATGTCACAGTTCATTGAAGAAATTAAATAACCAAATAAACGACGAAAGGGAATTATGGCTGATAAAAAAAACCCTTGGACTTTATCGGCTTACACAAAACATAGTCGGTTTCTTATGTTTAAATACGATTCCCTCGACTTGGTTACTTACTGGCTCGGAAGTTTTGTTGTACAGGGTGGTCCAGCTAAGTTCGCGGATGTAAAATGCTTATAACTTTTTATAGGATTGTAAAAATTTGTATTGATTTTTATGATCAATAGCTCATTTTATTCCTTAGCAGTTGCCATTTTGTTAAAAAAAAAGATCATTAAAAACGATCAATCCTACGTCGAGTTATGACCCTTCGAAGTCAAACATGCTTTTTCACGTAAATTTTTTAAAAAATTTAATTTTCAAAAATTTTTGAATTGCGGTGTCATCGCTGGTACCGGGAAATGATGGTGAACAGAGCGATCCCAGCTATGCAAAATTGGGCCAATTTTGCCAGTCTTGTTTTTCAACAAGATGGCGCGCCACCTCATTTTGCTATAGCGGTCCGTCAACTCCTTGACCAGGTTTTTCCAGGTCGTTGGATGGGCCGGGGATCTGCGCGGCAACCAGCTCCAATTGCTTGGCCCCCGCGTTCACCTGATCTAACTCCGCTAGATTTCTCCATTTGGGGGTTCTTAAAAGAGAGTTTTTTACAAATCGAAGGATGGCCCGGACATTTCGAAAAAACGACCGACTTTTGGAGTTACGGTACTTTGAATGTTGCCGGTGCGGTATATCAAAAAATAATTTTTTTCGAAATGGGTGTAGAAGACCCGCAAACATTGCTAAAATACGTTTTCGACCATGGCGAACATTTTTGTAATTGACACTTTTTTTGTAGGATGTAGTCTTCGACCGGTTTGAGAAATGTCAAGATACCATGTTCAATATAACTTTCCGGCATTCAACTTGTCTCAACTTTTGAAACCTTTCAAAAACACCTTGACATATGTGTAACAACATATCAAAAATTTAGGGAAATAAAAGGGGGGGTTTTGGAGTTATAGCACTTTGAATGTTGGACATACAGTACACCTCGATTTATTCTCGGCTTAACTTTACGTAGATTATTTTAAAAATAAAATGTAATGTTTTATCTATGTTGTAAGACCCTCACAAACTATTTTCACAAAAAAATCAAAAAAACTAGACCTAAGCATACTGTAACATATCGTGCGCAGATGACTGGTTACTGTAACAGCAAGATCAGTGATTTCTTAATTTTTTTGTAACAATTGACACGGTTTAGAGACGTGTGTGCCATACGACGGTGGAATCTATCAATATCGGATGTCAGCATCACAGAAAAAGTTTGGTGTACTGTATGTCCAACATTCAAAGTGCTATAACTCCAAAACCCCCCCTTTTATTTCCCTAAATTTTTGATATGTTGTTACACATATGTCAAGGTGTTTTTGAAAGGTTTCAAAAGTTGAGACAAGTTGAATGCCGGAAAGTTATATTGAACATGGTATCTTGACATTTCTCAAACCGGTCGAAGGCTGCATCCTAGAACAAAACTTTCAATTACAAAAATGTTCCCCATGGTTGGAAACGTATATTGGCAAGGTTCGCGGTTGTCCTACTCCAATTTTAGAAAAAATGAAATTTTGATATACCGTACCGGCAACGTTAAAAGTGCCATAACTCCAAAACCCCCCCCCCTTTTATTTTTCTAAATTTTTGATATGTTGTTCCGTACATGTCAACGTATTTTTCTGAGGTTTCAAAAGTTGAGACAAGTAGAATGCCGAAGAGTTACGTTACACATGGTATCTGGGTCATTTTCGAAGTAGGCGAAGACTACATCCTACAAAAAAAGTGTCAATTACAAAAATGTTCGCCATGGTCGAAAACGTATTTTAGCAATGTTTGCGGGTCTTCTACACCCATTTCGAAAAAAATTATTTTTTGATATACCGCACCGGCAACATTCAAAGTACCGTAACTCCAAAACCCCCCCTTTTATTTTTCTAAATTTTTGATATGTCGTTCCATACGTGTCAACGTATTTTTGAGAGGTTTCAAAAGTTGAGACAAGTTCTCTGCAAAAAAGTTACATTCAATATGGTACCTTGGTATTTTTCAAAGTAGTCGAAGGCAACATCCTACGGCAAAGTTGTCAATTATGAAAATGTTCCCCATGGTCAAAAACGTAAAACGGCGAGGTTTTGTGCCTTTACTCCTTAAGGCTTTTACATACGAACCCAATCTTTCTAAAAATTGTACCTAACGTAACCCCCGTATACGGTAATTTCAGAAACTAAAAATTCGTGCTGACGTTCAGCTATCATAGTACATCAACTATGCAAAATATCAAAAGATTCTGAGTCGGTCGTTTTTTCGAAATGTCCGGCCCTTGTTATGAGAAGCTTCAATTTGTAAAAAACTCTCTTTTAAAACAGCGGATTTTCATCAGGGATTGGCGCCCAAAGACGTGGAATTGAAGCGCGTAATCGAAGAAGAGGTGGAACGAGTTCGCCAGGATGAACAAATGAGGCGCCAAATTATGGAAGAATATCAGTCTGGCCGAAAAAGAATTGTCCTCCGCGCCCCCCTCCGTCGCACTCACTCCAAACCCCAATTTGAAATTTGGAGGGCGTCGCCGAAAGAAAGAGCAAAAACAACGCATCGCCAGCGATAAAAGTGGGTTTTGCACAGTGCAAACGGCTTTTTTGCACTGTGCAATCCCACAAATTCAGCGATTTTTCGAAGTCGCGCGCACTTTTGCGATGCATCGCTCAAACTTTCGGTGCCGCTCATTTTCGAGATTGCGATTTCGAAGCTGCGACGAGGGTAATTCTTTTTCGGCCAGACTGATACTAGTCGCGCCATAAAGTCCTGACACATTTTGCACCGTGCGAAAGTTCGGGGTTTGGACGTCGCGCCCCCAAATTCGGGTTCGTCGCGCGCAAAAGTGCATGTCGCTAGTGCAAAAACGGGAAATTGCGGCGACAAATGCGAAATGAAAGAAGAATGCACAGTGCGAAAGTTCGGGTTTGGGATGTCGCGCCCGCAAATTCGGGTTTGTCGCGTGCGAAAGTCCTCGTCGCTAGTGCAAAAACGGGAAATCGGGGCGACAAATGCGAAAAGATGCACAGTGCGGATGAAATGAAAGAAGAATGCACGGTGCAAAATGTGTCAGGACTTTATGTCGCGACTAGTACTAGTCCTTCCGTAAAGTCGCTGGAATGATTTCGGCGACGCGCACTGTGCAAAAAAACTCAGGGTGCGAGCGACGTCCCAAAAAGCTCATTGCACTGTGCAAAAAGCCAAAAATTGCACAGTGCAAAGTGAACTTTCGGTTTCGCGGGGTGCATGTCGCCGAAAACATTCCAGCGACTTTACGGAAGGACTAGTACTAGTCGCGGAAAAAAGTCCTTAGAATTTATCGCGGCCCCCAAATCTCGTCGCACCCCGAAATGTTGATTTGTCGCTGAGAAAAATGGGAATCGCGCGCGACAATAAGGCAAAAACAACAAAATTGCACAGTGCAAAAGCACTTTTTCGGTCGGATGCACGGTGCAAAATGCTTTTTCGGGTTTATGCACAGTGCGAAATTCTAAGGACTTTTTTCCGCGACTAGTACTAGTCGCGACATAAAGTCCGTAGAATTTTTCGCGGCCCCCAAATTCCGTCGCGCTCCGAAATGTTGATTTGTCGCTGCGAAAAACGGGAATCGCGCGCGACAATAAGGCAAAATCAACAAAATTGCACGGTGCAAAATGTGTTTTCGGGTGAATGCACAGTGCAAAATGCTTTTTCGGGTTTATGCACAGTGCAGAAAATTCTACGGACTTTATGTCGCGACTAGTACTAGTCGCGGAAAAAAGTCCTGGGATTTTTCTGCGACTCTGCACTGTGCATGAACCCGAAAAGTGCTTTTGCACAGTGCAATTTTGTTGATTTTGCCTTACTAGTCGCGGAAAAAAGTCCTTAGAATTTCGCACTGTGCATAAACCCGAAAAAGCATTTTGCACCGTGCATCCGACCGAAAAAGTGCTTTTGCACTGTGCAATTTTGTTGTTTTTGCCTTATTGTCGCGCGCGATTCCCATTTTTCTCAGCGACAAATCAACATTTCGGGGTGCGACGAGATTTGGGGGCCGCGATAAATTCTAAGGACTTTTTTCCGCGACTATCAGTCTGTCGGGAAAATAACGGCGGATCGTCGCGCCTCGGAATCGCTCATCATCGCTTTGCGACTGCAAGCCGCGGCTTGGGATTTGGTGCGCGATAGCGGCGAGGCGAGACATTTTGCTGCGACGATCCGCCGTTATTTTTCCGACAGACTGATAGTATTGTCGCGCGCGAGTCCCGCGACAAATCAACTTTTCGGAGCGCGACGGAATTTGGGGGGCGCGAGAAATTCCCAGGACTTTTTTCCGCGACTATCAGTCTGGCCGAAAAAGAACCGGCCCCCCTCGCGCCTCGAAATCGCAACCTCGAAATTGAATGTTTTTGCGATGCATCGCAAAAGTGCGCGCGACATCGAAAGATCGCTGAATTTGTGGGAATTTTGTTGATTGCACAGTGCGAAACAGCAGAAAAAGGGCATTTGCACTGTGCAAAACCCACTTTTGTCGCTGGTGATGCGTTGTTTTTGCTCTTTCTTTCGGCGACGCCCTCCAAATTTCTCCGCGATTCAAATTGGGGTTTGGAGTGAGTGCGACGGAAGGGTTCGGGGAGGCCGGTTCTTTTTCGGCCAGACTGATACTAGTCGCGGAAAAAAGTCCTGGGATTTTTCTGCGACTCTGCACTGTGCATGAACCCGAAAAGTGCATTTGCACAGTGCAATTTTGTTGATTTTGCCTTATTGTCGCGCGCGATTCCCGCGACAAATCAACTTTTTGGAGCGCGATGGAGTTTGGGGGGCGCGAGAAAATCCCAGGACTTTTTTCCGCGACTAGTAGTACTAGTCGCCGCAAAAAGTCTTTGGAATTTTCTGCGACTCTGCACTGTGCACAAACCCGAAAACACATTTTGCACCGTGCATCCGGCCCGAAAAGTGCTTTTGCACTGTGCAATTTTGTTGATTTTGCCTTATTGTCGCGCGCGATTCCCACTTTTCTCAGCGACAAATCGACATTTCGGAGTGCGACGGGATTTGGGGGCCGCGAAAAATTCCAAAGACTTTTTGCGCCGACTGATACTAGTCGGGACAAAAAGTCCTGATAATTTTGCACTGTGCGGATTTGAACGTTTTGGGTTGTCGCTGCGAAAATCGCGAAAAAAGTGTTTTGCACGGTGCATTTGACCCGAAAAGTGCATTTGCACAGTGCATTTTGTTTGTTTTTGCCTTATTGTCGCGCGCGATTCCCATTTTTCGAAGCGACAAATCGTTTTTTCAGAGTGCGACAGAAACCGCGCAAAATCCGCACGGTGCAAAATTATCAGGACTTTTTGTCCCGACTAGTACTAGTCGCGACATAAAGTCCTGACACATTTTGCACCGTGCGAAAGTTCGGGGTTTGGACGTCGCACCGCGCATTCTTCTTTCATTTCATCCGCACGGTGCATCTTTTTGCATTTGTCGCCGCGATTTTCCATTTTTGCACTAGCGACATGCACTTTCGCACCGTGCTTTCTCTTTCATTTTCATCCGCACGGTGCATCTTTTCGCATTTCTCGCCGCGATTTCCCGTTTTTGCACTAGCGACGTGCACTTTCGCGCGCGACAAACCCGAATTTGGGGGCGCGACGTCCAAACCCCGAACTTTCACACGGTGCAAAATGTGTCAGGACTTTATGGCGCGACTAGTATCAGTCTGGCCGAAAAAGAATTACCCTCGTCGCAGCATCGAAATCGCACCCTCGAAAATGAGCGGCACCGAAAGTTTGAGCGATGCATCGCAAAAGTGCGCGCGATTTCGAAAAATCGCTGAATTTGTGGGATTGCACAGTGCAAAAAGCCGTTTGCACTGTGCAAAACCCACTTTTATCGCTGGCGATGCGTCGTTTTTGCTCTTTCTTTCGGCGACGCCCTCCAAATTTGAAATTGGGGTTTGGAGTGAGTGCGACGGAGGGGGGCGCGGAGGACAATTCTTTTTCGGCCAGACTGATAGTACTAGTCGCGCCATAAAGTCCTGACACATTTTGCACCGTGCGAAATTTCGGGATTTGGACGTCGCGCCCTCAAATTCGGGTTTGTCGCGCGCGAAAGTGCACGTCGCTAGCGCAAAAACGGGAAATCGCGGCGACAAATGCGAAAAGATGCACAGTGCGGATGAAATGAAAGAAGAATGCACGGTGCAAAATGAATTTGGGGGCGCGACGTCCAAACCCCGAACTTTCGCACGGTGCAAAATGTGTCAGGACTTTATGTCGCGACTATCAGTCTGGCCGAAAAAGAATTACCCTCGTCGCAGCTTCGAAATCGCAATCTCGAAAATGAGCGGCACCGAAAGTTTGAGCGATGCATCGCAAAAGTGCGCGCGACTTCGAAAAATCGCTGAATTTGTGGAATTGCACAGTGCGAAACAGCAGAAAAAGGGCATTTGCACTGTGCAAAACCCACTTTTGTCGCTGGCGATGCGTTGTTTTTGCTCTTTCTTTCGGCGATGCCCTCCAAATTTCTCCGCGATGCAAATTGGGGTTTCGAGTGAGCGCGATGGAGGGGGGCGCGGAGGACAATTCTTTTTCGGCCAGACTGATACTAGTCGGGACAAAAAGTCCTGATAATTTTGCACCGTGCGGATTTTGCGCGATTTCTGTCGCACTCTGAAAAACACGATTTGTCGCTCCGAAAAATGGGGAATCGCGCGCGACGTAAGGCAAAAACAAACAAAAATGCACTGTGCAAAATGCACTTTTCGGGTCAAATGCACCGTGCAAAACACTTTTTTTCGCGATTTTCGCAGCGACAACCCAAAACGTTCAAATCCGCACGGTGCAAAATTATCAGGACTTTTTGTCCCGACTAGTAGTATCAGTCGGCGCAAAAAGTCTTTGGAATTTTTCGCGGCCCCCAAATCCCGCCGCACCCCGAAATGTCGATTTGTCGCTGAGAAAAATGGGAATCGCGCGCGACAATAAGGCAAAATCAACAAAATTGCACAGTGCAAAAGCACTTTTCGGGCCGGATGCACGGTGCAAAATGTGTTTTCGGGTTCGCGCACAGTGCAGGGTCGCAGAAAATTCCAAAGACTTTTTGCCGCGACTAGTACCAAAGACTGGCAAAATTGGGCCAATTTTGCATTGCTGGGATCGCTCTGTTCACCATCATTTCCCGGTAACAGCGAGCGTTGACACCGCAATTCAAAAATTTTTGAAAATTAAATTTTTTTAAAAATTTACGTGAAAAAGCATGTTTGACTTTGAAGGGTCATAACTCGACGTAGGATTGATAGTTTTTAATGATCTTTTTTTTAAACAAAATGGCAACTACTAAGGAATAAAATGAGCTATTGCTCATAAAAATTGAACAATCCTATAAAAAGTTATAAGCATTTTACATCCGCGAACTTAGCTGGACCACCCTGTATATAAAGGTGGTCATATAAGATCTCGGAATTTTTTTTTCCCAAATCACGACTTTCGGTGCACAAAAAAGTCGACGCCCAAATCGAAAAATTGGCGTCAACTTAATTTTTTCAGCACCGAATTCCGAAATGCGGTGCTGACTTAAGCACTTCAGTCTTCGGTGCAGACTTAAGACTTCGTGCACTGATTTCGAAAAAACTTGGAAAAATTTACCGAATTTCAGAATTCGGTGCCGAGAAAAAAATATTTAAGTCGACGCCAGGTTTCCGATTTGGGCGTCGACTTTTTTGTGCACCGAAAATCGCGATTTGGGAAAAAAAAAAATCCGAGATCTTATATGACCGCCTTTATATGTTATGGCGAAAGGCCCGACAACCCAGTAACGAGAGACGAGACGCTCAAGAGTCAAGTGATTTATTCAGTGGAAAGGAGGCCCTTTTATAGGGAAGGCCCACAAGTACAATCAAATTTGAATAAATTTAGATCGTTCCTCGAAGCTCGATCGTTCCGCCTCACATGCTATAAAAAATAAATGGTAAATCTGGCGTTACAAGAAAGGAAGTATGTAAAAGGTGACGGTGAATATGGATGAGAATTCATTCAAATATTTGTGAGTAAAATTTCACGGTATAAACACTTCTTCTCTCAATCAATTTCCTAAAAAATCCGATTTCCTTTGATACATGTGGTCGAAAACCTACTTCAGTCACGATAACTTCGAGCCGATCGCCAAGAAAGCTATATTCTTGAGGCCAGTCCGGTGTCGACGCTATTTTTTTGAACTCGTGTAAGACCTCATCGCTAAGTTGGTCTTCAATTCCATATTTGTCGGTGATGCAGAGTTTGATGCTGACATTTGGGTCCAATTCCCTCCATTTCAGAATAAGATTTACCATTTCTATGATATAATCGTCGTCCGACTGAGAATTTGAATGAATTTTCTCATCTTATACTTACATAACTATCATCCGTCGCGATGGTGATTTTCATTGGCCGTTCAAACTTTGTTGCCATCAAAGGTTCGACAATGGCTGTTGCCAGGTTTCCACCGTCATACTATGCAAAAGAGGATGAGATTAAGAGTGTTCTACCTACATTCCAGTAGATTATGATGTTTTGCAAGAGTGGCAAATACTCCTGTAACTTATGTATGTCAGTGATATGGCAATCTTCGTATCCGTCCAAGATTAAAATTTCCAATTTCTCTGTATCATCACATTTTGTCCCGCTAATATTTAGCTATATATATATGTACATAGACTTACTATGCGAGGTCCAGGAAGTCTACCAAGCATTTGTGAGGGCTCGAGACCTCAACAATCAGACGCTTGTTATATCTCTCTACAGTAAAGTCATCATTACTGACGATCCAAGTATCAGCGATCAATAAGTGGGAGAGGACTTTTATTTGTCCTATATTGCAAGCGATATTCTTCATCTTAACACTGCGAAAAGGGCTCAATACTGAAGGTGATCTTACTTTTCTAGCGACTTTATAAGGCGGATTGTAACTTCCTCGTATTCCTTCCAAACTTTTTCTTCGTCATCAACTGGAAAGTGCGATATACAATAAACGCGTAAGTGAAATAAAGTGATCTATTTATGACTAAAAGATACACAAGCATATCAAATACATATTACATATCGCATAACTACAGTAATTTCAAAGCCTCACATTTGCTCTTCTTCGATTCACTTTCCACTGCGTCATCACGAATCAGCTTCCCATCGTATTTCCCCAACGTAAGACTGTCTACATACGGAATAAACCACAGTATATCAACCGGCTCCACACATGACGAAATATACAGGTCGGGGTATCTTTCCCGGGGTTGATAATATTGGGGTGGTGCGCACTTGGGTGGTGAAAATTCGGGTGAGCGTACTCGGGTGATCGCTTGTTCGGGTGATGCAAACTCGGGTGGTGAAAATCCGGGTGATGGATTTTTGGGGTGGGTGAATATTCGGGTGATGTAGAAAATATTGTATTGATGGTTAATAAACATACTGTAACATCATTAAAATTTTTAAGTTGAAATTTTTGGTTTTTTATTCATTTTTAGGTTTTTCGAGCATAAGGTATCCAAAAATCAAGTCCGTTTCGCTCGAATATCAATGCCCGACCTGTTGGCGAATCTGAATTCTCCATTATCAAACGCTCCAAAAAACTGATGAAAAAGTTTATTTTTAATTATTTACAATTTTGCGTCATCAGTAGTATTTGATTTTACAATCCTTTACTCATTATAACGATAATAATAGCGTTGGCATTGATATTCGAGCGAAACGGACTTCATTTTTGGATGCCTTATGCTCGAAAACCAAAAATTTCAACTTAAAAATTTTAATATTGTTACAGTATATTTATTAACCATCAATACAATATTTTCTTCCTCACCCGAATATTCACCCACCCCAAAAATCGATCACCCGAATTTTCACCACCCGAGTTTGCTCACCCAAATTTTCACTACTCGAGTGCGCATCACCCGAATATTCAATTACCCCTCAGACAACCCAATTTTATTTGATACCAAATACAGTGCGCGCCAAAATGATAGAGCCACTCAATTTTTCTGGATTTATTCTTTTATGGTTAGGTGGGCCAAGCCGGCATAATGCATATATGCAATAACATGATAGACCTGCACTACGGCCACCATAACTAAGGACTAGCCTGGCGCCCAATCCAAAAAAAATCAAAAATTCGGACCTTCCCCCTCGGTCGACGCGTCAAAATGATAGAGCCACCGGATTTTTCTCCTCGGTGGTGGCAGGCGGGGATCTATTGGTACTGTAGTCTGTTAATATTACTACTGCTATTCACTGCTGATGTGAAACGGTTACTGTAACTACCGGCCATACGGTAGCTTTTGGCAAAATTAGAAAATTTTCCAAATTTTGGGTAAAATCGACCGGAAATAAATTTTCGGACGGTTGTATCCGGGTGGAAATGCCTTCAAAACATATTAGAAGGCCTATATTTTCTAACAGTAATCAATTTCCGTTGAAATCATATCGACCATATACAAAGAATGATATTATACAGTGCGTCCCAGGTTTTTGGTTCCACCCCATTTTTTGATCATATCTCGGGGGGTTTTCTCTCAAATGTCATGAAATTTTACACAAGTGTTAATAAACCTTTTAGAATAAGCTATGCAAAGTTTCATCCCATTTGGCTTCAGTACTCTGACGTTATGGCAATTTTTTTAAAATTTTGGGTGTCCCAGGTTTTTGGTTCCACTTGGAAATTTGCGAGTTTTTGGTCCGGTTTTGAACCAACCTGCTCTTAATACCATTCCTCGTGTTCTCTGTAGTATTAGAAAGGGTATTACATTCGTATCTGCCTTACTTTTTCGACGGAGTGGCGCTATGAGCCATCTCCGACCTTGTACATGAGATAAAGATTGGTTCTGAAAAAAAAGTAAGTCAGGCAGTTTTTTGGGCATTAAACTAGCCAATGCTGTAAAATTATATAGTGTGCATCTACTTGATGAAAAAAAGCGGCTTGCTCAATGATCTCGAGTATTTTCTTGGCATATCATCTTCAACAAGCAGCTACCGTAACACTTTATACCCCGAAATACCAAGAGGAATGGACGAGAATCACAAAATTTGAAAGGCGAATTTGAACGCAGCGTGCCTGAAAACGTAATGCTACAATCATTAGCCGTTTCAAAATAAATCGGGTCTGTAAAGTTCGTTCTACAAAAAAGTTCCGAAAAATAGGCCAAAATAGGCTTGCTTTTACCCATTTATCCTTGAACCAACCACCTGCGGCGGATAGAACATTTCAGCAAGCAATAAGATGCAGCTGTATGTTTGTTAACAATGATGCAACTGTAGGTTTGTTAACAAGTCATGCTGAGTTTGATTTTCTGAGCAAAAAGTTCCCATGGATAGTAATTTTCTGTACTTTTAGGGTCTTTGAAGTTTACGGTAGAAGGTATACGGTAGCTTAAATGACTTAACAGGTCGATTAAATGACTTCAAACAAATCGGTATCGGTTTGTTTTACACCCTACATTTGCTACAAGTAGTCTAAGTCGTTTCTTGCCGGAAGTAAATCACTAATCGGGATTTTTTTCAAAACCAATGTTTACTTCATGTATAAGGTCGGAGATGGCTCGTGGGACCACTGCGTCGATAAAGTACGATAGATCCAAATGTAATACCCTTTCTTATACTACAGAGAACACGAGGAATCGTATTAAGAGCAGGTTGGTTCAAAAACCGGACCAAAAACTCGCAAATCTCCAAGTGGAACCAAAAACCTGGGACACCCAAAATTTTTAAAAAATCGCCATAATGTCAGAGTATTGAAGTCAAATGGGATGAAACTTCGCATAGCGTTTTCTTAAAGGTTGATTAACACTTGTGTAAAATTTCATGACATTTGAGAGAAAACCCCCCGAGATATGATCAAAAAATGGGGTGGAACCAAAAACCTGGGACACACTGTATTACTTTAGCAGATGGACAGATTCTATAATAATGTGTATTGCTTATGTATGAGTCTGAGAAGCGGCCCCAGAACTTGTGGTACAATTGCAAAAGGACCATAGATTACTATAACAGGACCGAATTCAATAATTCCTTTATTCAAATTGCTAACGGTATTATGAAGTTTACCAAAGTTATACCCGAAAAAACGATATTTTGGTGGCATCACTAGCGTCAGAATATGATGGCTTCGGGTTTTGAAACGACGAGTGCGGATCTTTTTGTGCGTAACGTAGCATGATTAACTCAGCAATAACGTAATGATAAACAACTACAGAGAAACTTTGGTGTAGTCATCTAGAGAACCAGAATTGCTTCTCTTGTGGCATTATTCCTAGGGTGTACGAGACTTTACAGCCTTTCCAGGTTAAATGAAAATATTCTATATCGTGTGTTGCAGTCTAGCAGGAAGTTTGGTTTTACTTCCATGCTCCCACATTGGCATAATTGACATTATTATAGAATCTGTCCATCTGCTAAAGTAATATAATATCATTCTTTGTATATGGTCGATATGATTTCAACGGAAATTGATTACTGTTAGAAAATATAGGCCTTCTAATATGTTTTGAAGGCATTTCCACCCGGATACAACCGTCCGAAAATTTATTTCCGGTCGATTTTACCCAAAATTTGGAAAATTTTCTAATTTTGCCAAAAGCTACCGTATGGCCGGTAGTTACAGTAACCGTTTCACATCAGCAGTGAATAGCAGTAGTAATATTAACAGACTACAGTACCAATAGATCCCCGCCTGCCACCACCGAGGAGAAAAATCCGGTGGCTCTATCATTTTGACGCGTCGACCGAGGGGGAAGGTCCGAATTTTTGATTTTTTTTGGATTGGGCGCCAGGCTAGTCCTTAGTTATGGTGGCCGTAGTGCAGGTCTATCATGTTATTGCATATATGCATTATGCCGGCTTGGCCCACCTAACCATAAAAGAATAAATCCAGAAAAATTGAGTGGCTCTATCATTTTGGCGCGCACTGTACATATGTTATACATAGTAAGTTTCATCTACAGTTATTGGATTTACTCTTGGAGTTCATTTTTTTCGGTCGTTTTTCGGTTGTTTTTTCGGTCTTTCCCGGTGTGTCCGGAAATGGAGTACGGTGTGGAAGAAAAAGCTTGGTCTGTGGTTTGGCAAGGCAAGTACGGCTCGGCGATAAATGTTCAAAGGGAATACAGGATGAAATACGGACGTAATGCCTAACCTCCAGATCGCAAGGCAATTTGACGTTGGTGGAATAAGTTCCTTGAGATTGGCAGCGTTAACAGGAAACAAAAAAAGCAAGAACGATGGGTACGAATGGAGCTGAAAATTGAAGAAGTTTTGTCAAAATTCCGAGAAAATCCGCATATGAGTACACGAAGTTTGGCCAGAACCGAGGGAATGCCTTCACCAAGGGCTATTCGACAAATTCTGCAGGTTGATCTTCATTTTTTGTTCTTATTCTCATCGTCGATTTTCGGGAGGGGAAATTCCACCGTATTTTTCTTCCGCACCGTGCTCCATTTCCGGACACACCGGGAAAGAGCGAAAAAACAACCGAAAAAATGAACTCCAAGAATAAATCCAACAACTGTAGATATATGGATGGTTAGTTATAAATTTCATTTTTCATTCCGTTCAAAAGTGTGCAATTCAGTCCACGGAGGCACTTTGGACTAAAATCGGGAAATCCTGTCCGTGGTGCAAACAAAAATCGCCACTTTTGGTTTGCCGTTCAGACAAACGCAAATCAGTCCGTCGTGTGGACAGGTTTCCGGAAATCTAGTCCACTGATTTTTGATCCATGGACTTCTTGATTTGTTTGCTCGGATTTTTTGGAGTTGTCCGTGGTTTGGAAAATTCCAAACAAATCACAGAGGCACAGATGACCCCGGGCTTCTTCTCAAAAATTTTTTTTATTTCGCTATGTTCAAGATGTACTTTCTGATTGATAACAGCTTGGATTTGCTCAAAAAAGGATTTTTACCAAGGGTAGGCTTTTCTATTCGATTTCCTATCTAGATTGCCCGTTTTCTTTTGGGATAACCTATCAAATTTTAGAATTTTGTGAAGCTTGTTGCTCCATAGATAATATAATGTTTATTTCGTTGATTCGACCAAAACTTTTTAAACTTAATTATAGCTAAGGGTAGAGTAGGATGTTAGCTTGGTTCTAATGTCAATTTCGAACCAGAAGGTGCGAGTTTTACAAAAATTTTATATTGTACTAGGTCCTGGCGTTCGGTCCCTCGTTAAAACTGCTATTACGTTAAATTTGCCACTTTTGCATGGTAAAACAACCCAGTACGCTGACCTACATTTATACCTGGACAGTTTTATAGGTTTTTAGCTTCATTGTAACACCAATTTCCAACCAGACACAGCTAAATTTACGAAAATTTTATGTTGTACTTGGTACTCAAGGTTAACCTGGTCTTTCATAACATTAGCTGTCTTTATATGGTAAAATTAATCTAGTTTGCACACCTATAACTGTCCACTTTTACACTGTTTTAGCGAAAAAAAAGATAAATTGACTTACATTATCCATGAGGCAACAAGCTTCACAAAATTACAAAGTTTGGTGGGTTATCCGTCCAGAAAACGGGCAATCTAGACGTAAAATCAAATGGGGTAGCCTGCTCTTGGTAAAAATTCCTTTTTGGAAAAATTCCCAGTTTCCTTCATTCAGAAAATACATCGTGAACCAAGTGAAATAAAAAATTTTTTTTGAGCCCCGGGCCCGGGGTCAACTGTCCCCGAAGAGTTTGCTGGATAAACCAAAATCGCTGAATTCGGTCCGTTGCCTGGAGAAACGAAAAAAGTCCGCGGACAAAAAAAAAATTGTTCGTTCCGTAAACTGACTTTGCTGATTTTAGTCCGGAGAACGGATTAAAATTGCAACTTTGCGCCCAAATGGACTTGATTCCCCAATTTTAGTCCAAAGTGCCTCCGTGGACTGAATTGCACACTTTTGAACGGAATGAAAAATGAAATTTATAACTAACCATCCATATATACACTTACTATGTATAACATATTTGGTATCAAACAAAATGGGGTTGTCTGAGGATTCAGGGGGAAAAAAGAATTTTAAGATTTGGCCAAAAACTAAACAATTCAAATCGGGCCACAAAGATGCCCCACCGTTAGCTCAGCCTCCTTTTTCGTAACATCTGTTAATGCAATTCTCACACGTGGCTTGTCTTCGCTGAAACAGCGCGGATAGTGTACGCGAAATCTGCTAGGATTGAGAATTATTTTGTTCAAAAATAGAATAAAGGCATTAATATACACAGTAATACACTTAAATCGGGACTAACCAATACTCAATGGCGACGGAGTAATCATCGAGGAAAAGGCGGCGTGAACGTCGCGTTAAGCGCTGAAAAAGAGTTCTAACGTATATTCCATCTATCAACTTACCAGAATTCTCACACATTTGAGGTCCGTTTCGTTGAAACCCGAAAATTTTATGTAATATCCAATAAAACCTTGAAGACACTCCGTGTTTAGTCTCATCTCTTTGTCAATTAGGGGCAACAAATGCTCGATAACATGTATTCTTGCTTTAAAAAGAATATCAAAGATAACAATGACTCAGATGAACGAAGAGCAATCCATCGTTTACAACTTGGGTGCGGCTGTTTTGACAAGGAAAGTACTTTTATGGGGGCTCCTACTTTTTGACGGGACATATCTCAAAAAATCAGAAAAAATGTGCTGATCAAGGATATATAAATCTTAGCTGCCCATTTTGGGTTTTTATGGGTGAAAATGCCCCAAAACTGGCCTAATTCCTTACAAAAGGCGCAGGCATTCGAAACGATAAAAAGCGCAGTCGGTCTCTTCCTTCGGAAGAGAGCGGTGTGGCCGAGTGGTTAGTGCCGTAGTCTGGGAATCAAGAGGGAGAACGCCGCACGAGTTCGATTTCCCTTTTGGGTTGAATCAACTTTTTTTGAAGTTAAAAGTCAGAAAAATAAATTTTTGGGCCAAGACTGACTTATTACGTCTTAGAAACTCATTAAACATAATTTTAAGCCAAAATAAAAATTGTAAACCTGCGAAAAATTAAGCGAAAAGGGGTTCATATAGGACTTTAAGTCAACTTCCGATCGAGTTTTCACCCCTAAAAACCTAAAATGGGCAGCTAAGATTTATATATCCTTGATCAGCACATTTTTTCTGATTTTTTGAGATATGTCCCGTCAAAAAGTAGGAGCCCCCATAAAAGTACTTTCCTTGTGAGGAAAAGAGGCAAACTTATCCAAGGTAACTATAATATGCAAGTGCAATTTTCAAGAAGAAGGGGTCTTGAACAACGACTTATGCACTATAAACATTGCCAATATGATGATCTGTTCCCGGTCTTTCCTTCTAAAGCTATGGTGGAGGATCAAACGTAGATATAAAGGGCGTTTGGACAACCGCTCCTTAGGAAAAAGAGACAATTTTAGAGTGAAAATTTACTGTCACAAGTCAACAAGAGGGAGAACTGGTAAATTATGAGATACTTTTATATGACTTGACTTATGCTAATCTACCTGGGAAACTCTTAAACTTACTGCAAAAAAAGGTGAGGCTGAGTGCGCTCATTAATTTTTGCAAGCACGGGGAAACTGCTCGACGGAATCTCTTATCTTTGACTGAACAGAGTATAATATGGTACTAATCTCCTCAGTGTAAAACTTTGCTTTTTTCATGACTCATCATTTTTTCTTTCTCTTCCCGCTATATTTTTTCATTTTCTCGAGTAAACAAAATTTCCCGGAGGATCTTCCCAAATGAGGATGAACGCCGAGGTTCTTCGCAGCTTTATCGATCACTTTATCATAGAATATGGTGGAAATGTGAAGCAAAGATACCTGCAAAGCCCGAATTTTGAGCGAATTTTGGTAAGAAAAGACGAATTTTAAAAAGATATAAATATATTAACTATGACTAACTATGACATTAGCGACTAAACCAAAAGTTCCGCTGGTTATTACTTTCACAATTCAACTACTTTGTTGTTCAATGTGAGGAAAATTGGGAGGGCAAAGTGTTCGAAGTCACCGTGATGAAAAAGAAAGCCAAAGATGAAGCGCCGGAGATGTTCGGAGTCCAACACAAATGCCCGTATGATGTGCTTTTGTACGCATCGTATATCACCACGTTAGATCTGCGAACTTACAGGGGACCTTTGGTGGCTGACGACGAGGCTAGGCAGGAAATTAAGAGAATGAAGGGCGAGTTGAAAGAAAATTTTTTAAAGTCGTATTTTAATTTCTCTTCAGGCGAAGAAAAGGCCATCAAATTGTGGAATGAGACGAAAGAAGTGATGGTCCGGCTAGCGGAGCTAATCAAAGAGTGAGTTGGGGATTGTTTAACGAGCAACTTGCCCAGTACTAGCCTTTCCTTTTTTTACGAGGAAAGTATTTCTATGGAGTATGGAGTTACAGGTCGAGTCATATATCAAAAAATTCGCATAATTTTTCTGATTCAGAATATGTAAACATTAGCTGCCTAATTTTGGTTTGTAATGGTGAAAAAACCCCTCAGAACTTTTCTCGCATCACGATTCAATTGCCCCTTTTTTAAAAATCTTTTTATGTTGGAACTACTAATTAAGGTGTAGTATTAACCAAATTTGTTATTTTAAGGCTTGTCAAGCTGCCAGAGTTTACTTTAGCTCCAAACAAAGCTCTTCAATTGGTAAAAACTTGGTCAAAATTTGCGTGGTGTTCCGAGAAAAGTTCACTAGGATTATCCCGAAAAGCGCGAGATAAAACTTTCAGGAATTGTTATTTAGTTCATGCCCGACTTGTGTTCAAAATTTAAAGAAAAGTTTAGGAGGTGCCCTTTTAGGCCTTATCGGCTCACAGCAATCTTTCGCAATGTAAAAATTTCCTAGCTGTAAAACACCCCAGGTAAATCTAGAGAGCAATAAACTGCAGAAACCGTGACTGTTTTATTACCGTTTATGCAGTCAAAAATAAAGATATGTTAAGGTTTTATTTCATATACCTGTGTTTATTAAACTGCAATTTTACAACCGCCGCTTTTCTAACAGTTCAGAGAATCCAACAGTGTTTAGTTCGTAATCAAACGAGACGCAGTATTCACGGAAGAAAACATCTCCAGCGGCCCACTCCACGTTGTCGGGATTTGGGTCCAAAGCGTTCGCATGTATTTGTAGGTCACCTGTATTAGCAGCTACGTTGATGGAACGAAGTGTAACATTGAGAGCAAATGAGTTGCTGAGAGCGAAAAATTGCCGCTGATTTATATCAAATGTTGTGAGATTCACGGCATACGTGTTTGAAGGGGCAAACATACTAGATTGCTAAATCGTGAGTTGTTGACATTATTGGTGCAGCTTACTTTAAACGTCAATGCCCCGGCGTTGATAAAGCTAACAAGGACATGGCGAGGCATGTAAATTGAAATGTCTTCTGTGAAGAGCAACTGAAACGTATGTGTATATGTACAATATGTCAAGCACTTAAGCCATTTCTTAGTGACTGTTAGGACCTACTCTATATCGCCGGCGCGACTCGTAATCAAGAAACCGGACTCCTACTGCGTCTAAGATCCACTCACGGTCACCAGCGGCTTTAAATTCGGCCAGTTCATTTTTACAGTCCTCTCGTTTGTAATCTCCAAACATTAATGCGCATCTTCTCTTTTCGTTAGAAAATACAGTGGTGAACAAAGCATAGTTTATGTAGCCACGCTCCTTCAAAGCGTTGACAAAATTCTTTGAGGTTGAATCACGGGCGAGACCAACTCGGGCCCTAGGATGTAAATACTTGGTATTTTTTTGATATAAGAGAGGGCGCGCCCGCACTTGCGGGCAGCTAGAAGAACCACGGAGATTCTGCGGGCATGTTTGATAACCAGCCAACACTTGATTACTACGGAAAAGGATTTGGCAGTTAGACGCCTAAGAGGGGCCCTCAGTAAAGGACCCCTGTTATGTATACATGCTTACAGTGATATAGACCACTCGGCGTTCAACACACTTGTATAGACATTTAACGCCATTTTCAAGGTACCCAAATCCATTGTTTTCCTGGCCGAATCTTTGAAAAATATTTGGTCTTCAGCCCAAACGCCAAGTGATTGGCCGTCCGCTGACTTCCAGTAATCGTTGAGGATCTTCAATTTCGACGAATTATGCAAATACTTGTTGTATAGTGTATCACAACGTGTTTCCACCCACGTGTCCATAATGCAGCACATTGGACTACAGTATAGCGAGCAGAAAGTGGCTAAACGTGGGGGCATTACTGCGTTATTAGTTATTGTGCTCACGTAGGTTGCAATATTTTCCGCATTTCCCGTAGGTGTTGTTGCATTCCGCATCAGAAATGCTGATCTCAGAGGTCGTCAAGGAAAACTGAAAAGCCATCTCTTGTTTCCCCGTCCCAACGAATAAAGTGTCGGCTGTAAACTTGCAAAGGTTACACGTTAATTTTATATTTATAAACAAGGAAAACATTGCCTACACAATGCCACCATAGAAGGTGTTACTGGAATCTCAACAACACTTGTTGCTGCAAGTCGTTGACATAGTATCAAAACAAAAGGGAAGAGAAACATGTAACAGTTCATCGAAGAAATTAAATAACCAAATAAACGACGAAAGGGAATTATGGCTGATAAAAAAACCCTTGGACTTTATCGGCTTACACAAAACATAGTCGGTTTCTTAAGTTTAAGACGATTCCCTCGACTTGGTTGCCTATTAGGTTGAAGGTTTTGTTATATATGTTATAAAAAATAAATGGTAAATCTGGCGTTACCAGGAGGGAAATGTGTGAATATAAATGAGAATTCATTCAAATATTATATTTGTGAGTAGAATTTGACGGACTTCTTCTCTCAATCGATATCCTTAAAAAATCAGATTGCCTTTGATACATGTGGTCGGAAACCTACTTCAGTCACGATAACTTTGAGCCGATCGCCAACAAACTTATACGTATACTCAGACGAGTCCGGTAGCCCCACTATTTTTTCGAACTCGTGTAAGACGTCTTCGCTGAGTTCGTCCTCAATTCCACCATTGTCGGTGATGCAGAGTGTGATGCTGACATTTGGGTCCAATTCCCTCCATTTCAGAATAAGATTTACCATTTCTATGATATCATCGTCTTCCGACTGAGAATTTGAATGAATTTTCTCATCTTATACTTACACGACCATCATCCGTTGCGATGGTGACTTTCATTGGCCGTTCAAACTTTGTGGCCATCAAAGGTTCGACAATGCTTGTTGTCAGCTTCCCACTTTCATACTATGGAAAAGATGGTAAGATTAAGGGTGTTCTACCTACATTCCAGTAGATTTTGATCTTTCGCAAGAGTGGAAAATACTCCTGTAACTTTTGTATGTCAGTGATATGGCAATCTTTGTACTCTCCCAGGATTTCAATCTCCAATTTCTCTGTATCATCACATTTCGTGCCGCTAATATTTAGCTACATATACACATAGAAGGAACCTACTATGCGAGTTGCAGGAAGTCCCCCAAGCATTTGTAAGGGCTCAAGGCCTCAACTTTCAGAAGTTTGTTATTCCTCTCAACCGTAAAGTCATCATTACTGACGCTCCAAGCATCAGCGATCAATAAGTGGGAGAGGACTTTTATTTGTCCTATATTGCAAGCGATCTTCTTCATCTTAACACTGCGAAAAGGGCTCAATACTGAAGGCGATCTTACTTTTCTAGCGACTTGATAAGGCGGATTGTAACTTCCTCGTATTCCTTCCAAACTCTTTCTTCGTCATCAACTGAAAAGTGCCATGTAATTCACCTACAATAAACGCATAGGTGAATTCAAATGAGATCTGACTACAAGATATACAGCCATATCAGATACCCAACACTACAGTAATTTCAAAGCCTCACATTTGCTCTTCTTCGATTCACTTTCCACTACGTCATCACTAATCAACTTCCCATCGTATTCCTTCAACTCAAGACTGTCTATATACGGAATAACCCACAGTATATCGACCGGCTCGATATATGACACAATATGCGGTAACTCATCAGTTTCATTTTCTCCTTCCTTTTTCGTATCTTTTGTTAATGTTATGCCCACGCGTGGCTTGCCTTCGCTGAAACAGCGCGGATAGTGTACGCAAAATCTGCTAGGATTGAGAATTATTTTTGTTCAAAAAAGGCATTAATATACACAGTAATACACTTAAATCGGGACTGACCATGTTAAGCAATAGTCAATGGCGACGTGGGAGTAATCATCGAGGAAAAGGCGGCGTGAACGTCGCGTCAAGCGCTGGAAAACAATTCTAACGTATATAAACATCTATCAACTTACCAGAATTCTCTTACATCTGAGCTCTTTTATCCCCTCCTTGTAGTAGCCGCTATCAAAAAATCTTTTGTAATACCCAATAAAACCTAGAAGGCACTCCGTGTTTAGTCTCATCTCTTTGTCAATTAGGGGCGACAAATGGTCGATAACATGTATTCTTGCATTAAAAAAGAATATCAATATGATAACAATGACTCATACGAACGAAGAGCAATTTATCGTTTACAACTTGGGTGCGGCTGTTTTCAGGAAAAGAGGCAAACTTACTCAAGGTAACTACATAATCCTTTTATGTCTTATGCTAATTTCCCTGGGAGGAGGAATACGAAGGCGTGAGGAAAAAAGCAAAATGTAAGCTACCGCTAAGATAATATATTTTTAAAAATTTTACACTAAAAACATGCTTCCTTGATACGAGAGTTCTTTGTGGACAAGTTTTAGTAAACACTGAAAATGGAAGCTTTTTTTCAGATGAAGACAAATGGAAAAGCTTGTTTGATCGTTTCGAAAAAGCCGTCGTTCTCATGATTGACCTGTTACAAAAGCAAGCGCATATATCCTGTAAAACCATACATATTACAGTGGTAAACTGGCTCCGCTGGAATGCACAGACTCTCAGCTCTCCCGACTTCCCATATCTTTGACCGCAGAAGATTATGTCATCAGCGGCGAGGGAATGAAAGGTTTGATCCAAGACCAGAAACTCACTCTTAAAATTCTCGAGGAAGGCTCAAATCTTGGCAAACTTTTATCGATCAACAGGTAAGGCAAAAAAGACACCGAATCATTGCATTTAGAGGCCGGAAATACGATGATGTAAGGAAAATAAAAATTGTTTTCGTCTGTAAATCTCCCAGCTCATTATTCAGAGATGTTGACAGCCTTAGGCAGTTTCCGAACCTTAGCAAGATAAGCATCAAAGTTGAAGAGGCAAGGTCAAAATTCCATTCAATTTCAATTTATGTGATATTAGGGTGTCCCATAAGTCTTGTGTATTTTTGGGTTTGAGAATTAAAGTCTCGTTTCGCAGGCCTAAATGCAGTAGATTAGCTACCATACGCAGCTACAGCCAACACTTTCTACTATTGGAAAATTGAGTCTGAAAAGCATGAGTGCAGCAGTTCTCATGTTATTTACACCACCACCAAGGTACCCCCGCCCGTGCTGCAGCGCGAATTAAAATAACATCTAGGGCTCTTGTGCGTCCTATTTTCATGTTTAATAGGCGTAAACATCTGATTTTCCAAAGTATATACCCATTTTAACATCAGCAAGCAAAATTTTTTTTGATGTCTAGTACAATATTGGGGTAGTGCGGGTAGCAGGTGGATTTTTTGCAGCCTTGCTACATACGGTTTAAAAGCGCAATTCCTGATCTTCAAAACCGTATGTCTAACATATCTCGTAATGCGTTACAAAGCTCACAGGAATTCGCACAAGTCAACGACCCCAAAATACACAAGACTTATGGGACACCCTAATACATTAGAGAAACTTTTTTGCGTTAAAAGTTGACAAACTCTTTTAAGAAATTTTGAAGAACTTATTTTTGCATAGCAACTCTTTTTGCGACCTTTTGCCTCTAAAATAAATTGTCATTCTGTTTCAGGACCATGAATGATCGGAACGTCTATTTATCTGCCCGCAAACACAATACATACACATGTATCTATCTCCGCTACCTTCAAATGCAAGCTGGCTCAAACAAGTCTCTCTTCGTATTGATCTATGCCCCATTAGGGCAACATTTTCAACATCAAATTTTATTGTTTTATGCAGTAGTGTGATTTTAAAGTGCAATAAAGAAATAGAGTTTTTAAAAATTTGGGAGTTGCAAGATTTGGTGATCTTCAACCGAATCTCTTATCTTTGGGCAAACAATATAATAACTGGCTCATCACTAACAAGGCGGTGGCCTTATACATATGATCATTGAACGATGACCTCTCTTTTTCGCAAAAATGTAGTCTTAGAGCTCCCACCAAAGATATGCGTCTTTTATACTTGATTTAGCATCTGTTTCCAAGAAATAAATCGCATTTTTTTAAACATCAAGAAGACAGCAACAGTATGTTGGGCGTGTGCTCAAAAAAACGATACTGAACAGAGTACAATATGGTACTAATCTCCTCAGTATAAAAGCTTTGCTTTTTCATGACTCACACCTCTTTTCGCTCTCCTCTCGCTATCTTTTTTTCGTTTTCTCGAGTAAACAAAATTTCCCGGAGGATCTTTCCAAATGAGGATGAACGCCGAGATTCTTCGCAGCTTTATCGACCACTTTATCATAGAATATGATAGAAATGTGAAGCAAAGATACCTGCGGAGCCCGAATTTTGAGCGAATTTTGGTAAGAAAAATAGAATTTTAGAAGCATAATATATATGTATATATAACTATGACTTTGGCGACTCAACCAAAAGTTCCGCTGGTTATTACTTTCACAATTCAACTACTTTGTTGTTCAATGTGAGGAAAATTGGGAGGGCAAAGTGTTCGAAGTCACCGTGATGAAAAAGAAAGCCAAAGATGAAGCGCCGGAGATGTTCGGAGTTCAACACAAATGCCCTTATGATGTGCTTTTGTACGCGTCGTATATCACCACGTTGGATCTGCGAACTTACAGGGGACCTTTGGTGGCTGACGACGAGGCAAGGTTGGAAATTAAGAGAATGAAGGGCAAGTTGAAATAAAATTATTTAAGGTTGTATTTTAATTTCTTTTCAGGTGAAGAAAAGGCCATCAAATTGTGGAATGAGACGAAAGAAGTGATGGTCCGGCTAGCGGAGCTAATCAAAGAGTAAGTTGGGGATTGTATATGGACCTTTCTAACCGCAACTTGCCCAGTACTAGTCCTTCAGGAAAGTTGCCGGACTGAAATTAGCAACTAAGGAAAATTTTTTTGCACTGTGCAATTTCGTGCTTTTTGCACCGCGAAATCGTTTTTCGCACTTTGATTTTTCGGGTCAGCGACACTTTCAAGACAACAATACTAAAGAAAAAGTAAACATATTTCAAGCCGTCACCAAGTCTCCGCCGAGCCTTCGCGGAGCGTCGGCCGGTCATCCAACGGCTTTGCCAGGCCTCGTAGGGATTTCCTAAAACTTTTTTTTGGTATTCACTTACACTATGCCCCATATCGATCGGTTTTGCGTCGAGCCGAACTGTCGCTGATCCGAAAAGTCGGGACACGAAGAGTTGAGTTCCACGATTTCGCGTTTCCAAATTTTTACAGGCTACCCCAATTAAGTAACAAAATTTTGATTGTCGCAGGAGAGAAAAGACCCTAAACTAGAAAGACCTTGAGTTTTATTGGCCAGAAAATACAGTGACGGATGGCAAAAAACGTACCATGCATCCGAGAAGTATTAAAAAATGTGGCAAAATGCCTCCCTCGCCAACTAAAAAAACTTCGTATAGGTATTTTGCTACATTTTTTGATACTTTCCGGATGCAAAATGGAGCGTTTTTTGCCACTAGATCTGGTCCTCCACTGTATCTTGTGTCAAATTTTTCCGCTTACAAAAAGTAGCCTCTAATAGCCTTGTTCTCAGGAAAAATCTCGACCAACTTATCTGCAACGCCCATCAGCTCGCCGAATTGCCGACAACTCTAACTGCAACTCGTCTTCATGTCCGCGGTTCCTATTTATCAGTGCAGACGCGCAAAGACAAAGTGAATGCCATCATTTTTGACGGTGGATCGCTTGATGAAGTCTTGTGTATTTCCTCGTAAGTTTTCTTGTTCAGGAGAGGTTTGTTTCAGGGGTCGAAAATACGATCACATTGAGAAATTGTTGTTCACGTTCTCCGAGGGTTACATGTGGTACACCATCAGCGACGTGGACAAGCTTCAAGAGTATTTCCCGAAGCTGTGCAAAATCAAGGCGACTGCTAACTTTGTAGGTGAAGACGATGATTTTTAATAAAACACAAGAGATTACGGACCTGATCCATTGGCAAAAAAAGCGTACCATTCTGCATCCGAGGAGTATCAAAAAATGTGACAAAATGCCTCCCTCTCCAAGCAAAAAAAAACTGTTTTGAAGGGCCCTCACAAAAAGAGCGGGCGCGCTTTTGAAATCGGAGTTTTTTCACTTGGAGAGGGAGGTGTTTTGATAAATTTTTTGACACCTCCCGGACGCAAAATGATACGTTTTTTGCCACTGGATCAGGTCCGTCACTGTACTTCCTGTAAGTTCAGGGCAACCGAACAGAGTTTCCTCTGCTTGATGACCTAATGCGGACCCCATTCAAACGCAAAATGAAGATTGTTCTCAACGCTCTGGATGATGTAGGTTAGCTAGAATTATACATATTATTATATCAATATTGTTATATATTTCTAATAAAAAGCTTATTAATATGTTTCAGTCCAAAGAACAAGCCATTCAAGCCACTCTCAGCAACATTAGCGACTGGATTCTCCGAGATCCCAACATTACGGTAGAGTTTCGATTCATCGACTCCTTCGAGATGATTCACAGGATTGAAGAGAGGTTTCTCACCGGCTTCGACACTTCGGTGGATGCGGAACATTGCACCAGAATCTATGCAAAAGACAGATTGAAAGTCAAAGTTTTGGATAATCAAGTAAGTAGATTGATCTTGATTAAAATGCTTGTAGTTCTACGCGCATCCTGTGCCATTCTCTCCATAAGAATTGTGGATTTTACTGTTGATTTTTATTTCAATATAAATAACTTTTTTTTTCAACAAACTACAATTATATATTGTAAAATAATCAAGGATACAAGTCGGTCGGGCACAAATCGTCAGAGCTGGATTCGTCTTTCCAAATGACATCATATCGCTTGTTATTTTCAAAGTGGAATTGCCAAGTTGGCCCGATATAAACGTTGACTCTGCATTCTCCTTTTGTGAATCGATGGTAACTGGAAGATGTAGCAATTTAATGAAGCCACCTACATCTTCAATTTCTGGGCATCTGAAGCTCTGAGGACTGGTGGATAACCTTCCACATGAAAGCTTCCATTTACATCGGCAATGGTATCGCCAACAACGGTGTCGTAGATACCGTACTGGAGCAGCTCGACGCGCTAAAGGAAAGGAAATCAGCAGGAAATGGGCGAGGAAAACTGGAGAATTCAAACAAAACGTTTGAATCACAGTTATCAGTTTACTTTTTCAAATCTGGCCATAGTTTTTTGCCTAGGCCTCGAATGAATTTCTCAAAATATTAGATCCGAGTTTGTAGGAAAAGCCGAGGTTTTAACGATTTCTTGAGAGATCATTGATAATGCAGAGAGTGGTCAGAGAAAAAAATGTTTTTTTCGCATATCGTTGCCAATTTTTCATAAAAAAGTCCATCTCCCATTAAAATGCCACAGCATGATCAATAATTTTGCCCAGATCATTGCCTAATAATTTTGCCCAGGTCATTGCCAGTTTTTACTGAAAAAAACCTATTTCTTCGAGACGCCACAGTAGGATCAAAAGGGCAACCTTTCACCCCAAAGGCGTCTACGGCTTCAAAAGCACGATGATTTTTGCAAAACACGAGTCAAAAAATTTGAGAAAATATGATCAAAGTCTCAGCTTTCATAGAGGACTTCAAAAAAAATTTGTAAATTAAGTATGCCTCTAAAAATAAATCTCAAATTTCGGCTTACAACTTTAGGATAAGTACTGAAATCATCGAGTTCCGGATGGAAAACAGTCCCATCCAGAGTCCAATGATCCGTTTTGACTTGGCCAATCAGACCGATAATGAGAAGAACAACCGCTCGGGAGACCATTACATTAAATTTGGAATGATTTTTTTAAATTAATTCTTTCATTTATATAAAATTTTAATTTTGAAAATTCACAAGTTTCTGAGGAGAAAATTGAGTCTCAAATTATGTAAAAGAAAGTCAAATAAGTGTATTAACATTTATTACAGGTGTCTTTAACAAAAAGCAAACTTAACATGAGCAATTTTTGGGTTCGTATATACAATAAAATCGAATACAATAGCGAAAACGGAGCAAATTTGTATGAGCGAGGGGGGATATACCAAAGAACTTATTGTATTAACAATTTTGGAGGAGAGTGTTGAAATTACTCAGTAAATTGTTTGATATAATGACGGAACAGACCATGCGTAACAACTTTAACCATAACTTAGAGGACCTGAGGGGAGATAACAATAAAAATTCGAAAGAAATTTGGGGAAGAGAATTTACAAACTTACAATATGTACATCGGGTGTGTTTTGTGGCAGTTTAGAAAGGATTTGAATAATTTTTTTGGGCAAAAGATGACAAATTTTTGAAAAATGAAAATTTTAAAGTCTCTAAGAAAAGTCATCATGGATTCAAGACGAAATAAAATTACTATCGTACAATATACTGTATAAGGCTAAGAGTTTTGTATGTACAAGCGCTCACAATACCATACTATTCAAGACGTTGGGCTGATAAATCGACGCCACATTGACAATCAGCCTGAGGTCGCTGCAGTCGCAGCCAACAACTTCGCACACGCGCTCCATCGACAACACCATCGGAGCGCTCGCCAGGACATTGTCATCGGGATCTTCGTCGATCGTGTCCGTCGACACCCAGCCTCGATGCTCCTTGCCGGGAGATTTCACCGAGACAACCGACAAATTCCGCAACTTGGACATTGTAATTGCGGCTGGCGGATTGGGCGCTCGGAATTGGGGCTCATCAGGCTTTGAATGACTGATAGGGCTGGAGGATTCGACCTCCATCGCTGTCGAATGGCCCGTATTGGAGTTGTTTTCGGTGTAGAGATAATCCGACTTCTCTTCGGAGGTGATCAACTTGACCAACGTCTGACTCTTACTCAGCAAACTGCTCAGCTTGTCCTCCAAGAAGCTGATCAAAAAGTTCGAGTTGGCTTCAATTTTGTAGAGCGACAAGAACTGCTCCAGCATTGCAACCACCGCATCCGACGGGCTCGCGACTTGTTGGTCTTCAATGCGACAATTCTGCGCAGAAACTATTCGTACAGAGGTGTCGGTGAGATCGCCGACCACAACAACCGCTGAAGTCGGGCCTTCAATGCAGGTCGACTTCTGGCTGCTTCGAGAGCGCGGCGAATCCGCCACGGTCGAGTTTTGACGTCGATGGCGAGAAGGTCGAGGTGGGAGGTCGTGAAGAGTGGAATGGGCAGAGTTGGTGAGGGCTGAGCTGGTCGAAGAAGAGGGGGAAATCGCGGTCTCACAAGGTTCTCCGGTCGGATGTTTGACGTCCTCATAGATGGCGTTGAAGGTGTCTTCCACTTCGGATTCTCGGAGATCCACACCTGCAAAGATATTGATCAATACTATCGCAGTAAACTAAAAAAAATTTTGATGTTATTGCCAAAACAATTGCTTACCTGATAGCACAAAATGTGGCGAATAGGAAGCACAAACTCCAGCCAACAACGATCTTCCCAGATCCCCATTGGCGTTGGTATTAGAACCCAGCGATTGCGAAGAATGAGAGCTTGAGGCAGGAGAGTGAGAGCCATTCTGAGCGCCATTAGCCTGTTGTTGAAGCGAGTTTTGGTACAACGAAGGGACCAGTTCTTGTCCGGACATCTGAACGTCCTCCACATCCAAGATCAATTCCATTCGACTCCTGGCAGGACTCGACAATCCATTCTGCCCACTCGAGTAATGAATAGTCTGGCTGTGGACGGATTGGCTCATTATCCGCGAACTCGTGGGACTCGCCATTTCCGGATACATCGACTGGCTCAACGGCGGGTTGATGGCTCGAGTTTTGGATGGAGGTTCGTCCAGGTCGATGGGGAACTTGGAGCATCCGTCTGGAGGGGAGGTTGCGAATTGAGAGGATGACAACGAAGAGGAAGGACGTTTGGTTCTGGTTGGTGGATGAATTGGCATTGAAGAAGGGGCTGGATCCGGCTGTTGAGAGGTGTTTGAGGAGCTGAGGTCGGTCAGGAAATCATCCATTAGATCGGATTGAGCATTCGAAGGGGGTGATCCAACAAGATTCACCGGATTCGCGGGTCTGGTGGGCGATAAAACTTCTGAAAGTAGGCCGTAAAGTATTATGGACAATACTTTTTAATCTATTGCTATTTTGACCTAGTTTATGCATGCAGATTAAGTCTAATATACTCTGAAATATTCCTCACCTCCTCTCCTGCTTTCCACATTCGAGCATCGGATGAAATACGACAACACAAAGAGGATCTCGCTGATCAATCGAGGGTTCTTCCCGATGACAACAGTCTTGGCCAATTTATCGCCTCCTCCAACGATTCCACAGAGCTCCATTAACTGAGCCAATCGGGCGTTGTAGGGATGACGGGAAGCGTCGATTACACTCTTAAAATGATATGGATTAAAATGGTTCAGAAAAGACGGTGATGATATTGCTTAAACTTACAGTCCCCAACAGTAATGACCGTTCATGTTGAGGGATCGTATCGGGCGGCGCAACACTCGCCACCCAGGCCAAATGGTTCATGAGGACGGTCGAAAGGAGGGTGGATAAAAAGCTGAAAAATCATGGTAAGTTTCTAAAATCCATATGTGCATTTTGAACATGAAATAGCCCAAGTTTATAGATTTCTAGAGCCTCCATACACCATTCAATATACTTGGCAACAGCCACTTACAATTGCGTTTCCTTCCGATCCAGCTGCTCGATCAGTTTGGCCAAGGAATGACAAAACCGTTGAGCCGCCTCATTCTGTTGATGCGGGTCCAACAACGATAACCAAACGGGCTGTCGGAGCCTCAACGAATTGTACAACAGACACACCGAGTGGGTGAAGTGCCGGTACGCCTGATAGACACAATAAAAGAACTGACTCCGGGACAATGAAGCCTTGTAAATTCCGGTCTCCAATTTCACAATCTCTCGCTCAATTTGGAGAATATGTTGGAAGAGGAAGTCTCGTTCCTTGGCGTCGAAAATGAGGGCAAATCCAATTTGCTTTAGATCGTCAATGTTTTCGTTGACGGAAGAGCAGGAGCTCATCCGGGAACGACTGCCCCAACGGACGGCTGGACCTGGAATTCAAAATTTTTATTGTAAAAATTTCGTTATTAGATAATAAACTTTAGCATAAAAAAAGTCGCTACCCTCACCTTCATCAGCCAACCCCTTCAGCGACAATTGTTTCCGGCAATGTCTGCTCAGCCGATTCGGTGAGAAAGCGCGGACTTCCTCCAGGATCGCATCATCGCTGTCCAGCTGAAGCGATGAGTTTCGAATCCGATGGAAACGCTTGGGCGGATCGGCGGACGAATTCTTCCTTCGGAAATCATCGCGGATCGTGTCCAACGACCGGATCGTTGCATAATGTTGCCCCTGGCAGTCCGGCTCCGAACCGAAGCTATTGGTCAGGAATTTGAGCTCACTGAAATTGAAAATTACAACATTTACTCGCAAAATATGATAGATAATTATTTCCAAAATCGTATTTCAAATTTGCAAGGGCTTACTTGTAAGGTCCATTGAGCTTAGACGCCTTTGGCACGAAGAAGACCCGGCTCAGCATCACCGAGTTTGTTTGACTAAACAAGAATTAGTTTTCTAAAGTCATCCGCTTACGGTAAGGTGTGGATCTTCAAGGATCCAGTTTTGGATGAGGTTGGCAGTGTGCCAAATACCATGCGACCAATTTGAGGGACATCAGAGCGGTGGCGGAGGAACTGGAAATTACATTGTTTACGGGGCGCAAAAATAAAATGTAGGCTGTAATCTTGCATAAGAAGTGTTATTTATTCATGAAAAGTCCCCAGGTACAGTAATCGGCCAAACTAAAGCACTAGTGACATCTTATACGATGAAACCTTTCAAAATTTTCGAAACATTTTTTATCGTATAAAATGTCTCCGAGCTCAAAAATTAAGTTTCTAGGTACATTAACCGACCAAATTAAATCATTAGGAACATTTTATACGATGAAACCTTTCGGAATTTTCAAAACGTTTTTCATCGTATAAGATGTCCCCAAGCTCTACAATCAAGTTTCTAGGTACAGTAACCGACCAAATTAAATCATTAGGGACATCTTATACGACGAAACCTTTCAAAATTTACCATGCATGTTTCATCGTATAAAATGTCCCTAGCTAAAAAAATCATAAATGCTCACCTGAAACCTTCCGCAAGCGCTTTTGTGAGCATCCTTCAATTGCTTGTCCTCAATCGAGATTACTGTCTCCGAGTCGTACAGTAACCTCTGATCATTCTCATTGAAGATGACCAACCGCATGTCCGATCGCTGGATTTTGCGCGTCTGGCCAACGCTAAAATCATCAACATAGGCGTCGCAAAGTCTGTCGACATGTAGGATAGTCATTTTTGTTCCAAAAAACTACTTTTTTGTGAGCCCTTTGTCCCTTTCGGATTTATCAAATTTATCAATTTACAATTTTTTCCATGATTTGCATACTGTAAGCGGAGAGTTAGAATGTGTCAGCGATCACGATGTATTTTAAAACCATTAAATTCTCGAGATTCCAAAAATCGAAATTTTTTGGACATTATAATGTTGTAATAAACAGATATAGACGGGAATCGGGAGCGAAAAAAAAATAAAAAAAAACATAGGAAACATGTAATCGAATTGTTTTTCGGCCTTATCAATGAAAAAGACGGGGAATTGTGGAGCGAAGAGTGGCTTTTAATAGAGTTATCTTTGCTTGGTCATAATGGAAGTCATGGAAGTGACATTTGAAGTTATAATGGGGCAAAAATAGAGTAATAAAAATAATGGAGGTCAGGAAAAGTAGAGGGGAGAGTTTAACGACCAATAAGAACCTCGTGGGTAAGGTCTGTGTAAAATACGAATCAAAAATATAAATTGTTGATTAAAAAATCATCATAGCTTCAATAAAAAACCAGGCATAGCCTTTGAGGAAGCTTAAATTTAAGCTTTATCAAGCTCAAGTTTAATCAAAATCGCCTATGATATCTCTTCTGTAGAAATCTACAACGCCCTTATTACACGGGCGGCCCAATAATTATTCCGGAAAATTCTGCGATCCAATCAAAATTGACTTCTGAATCTCCCAAATTCAAAAAAAAAACAAGTCCAATTTCAAGATCCCAATCGTGGACAGCCAAACAGAATCACGTCAGTAAATCACTGCCCAAAAAGTCGCCCAAAACAAATGACAAATCTTAAAACAAAGAAATAAAACTTCCTACGGTACAAAATTTATTTATTTACGACCAGCCGAATTTATTATCGTAAGAGACGTGCAAATCGCCAGTTTTTGCAATCTGATCTTCACGTGCGCCGTTGAGGAACTGTTTTCCTTATGACGGACTTTTGAGGTCACATTTTTGACAGTGATTTTGGAGGTGGTGGAGAGAAGAGTAGGGTTGAAAATGGATGATAGTTTATGGTATTAGATGAAGATGTTGTTGTAAGGAAAAAAGAAATGTAAAAGAAATACGGTAGAGCGTCACATTAAGGAAATTTTTTCAATTACTGAATTTTTTAAAGCTCGGTAATTGCCAGTAATTAAAAAATACAATAATGAGCTCAAAATAGCAACAAAGTTTGCTTGAAAGTAATTTTAGCACACACAACTTTTAACTACAATATTATTTTTATTAATTTATTACGCTCAGCAACATTTTCTACACATAAAACAACAACCCCAGTACTATACCAAAAATGCAATAAAATATAATAATTTTATGAAAAAAACATGACCTTCTGCCTTACAAAAACCGCTGTCTGTGCAAAATTAGCCAAGTTTATAACGCATAACCGCCCCAACGAAAACGGCGATAGGGCGACCAAGGCAGAAAAAATACCGCGAATATTGATCGGGTGGAATAAACAGATCGATGGGCGAGATTACGCGGACCCTTCGATAAATTCCCCGCTTTGCCAGCGATATCTTTTTTGTCAGCAAAACAGACGTAATTAATTGGCTCGCTTGCTCGGGAAAAAATCGGGGGGAATCCTCTTTGGAGGTGGCTAGTGTAATATTGAGGGTAAACGAACATAAATCTAGAGCGATTTAAGGCCACAAGGGAGGTTGTAAAGATCAGGGAGATCAGAAACAAAGAGCTGATGGGATTTTGCGGAAAATTATGGACAAGTTGGGAAAAGAATTGAAGGATTTTAGTGGGATCTAGGGTAATATTAAGGAGCCTCATTCGCTAAATTATTCCAAGATGTTCGATATGCTATCGAGGCCGCAGTTTAGAGAGGAACCTTTAAATTAGAGCGAAATAAAAAAGAAAAGTTCTATTGGTCATCAACTGGCCAGGTACAATCTACAAGAACCTCTTATTTTTTGCCAATTTCAATCTAGCGAATTTTTTAACATAATACGCAATTAACAACAGCTATAACCGAGTCAAAAACCCCATCAAAAAACTTTCAAGAGCCTTGCTCTATCCAAAAAAAAACTCAAAAACCCCGCCATGGCTTCAGACAAAAACTACAAAAAAAATCAACATCAGTGCTCATAAATGCAAACCTTTCATATGCAAATTGCCCATGTTTCGCCCCAACGCCCGTCTAGACTACAACTCATCTAAATACGCATCAGATTACCCCCGCGTTCCATCGGAAAAACTTGTCCGTTACAATGGACAGGAGAATAAAAAAAAACAAGGGCTTTTAATTAAGATCAATCTCTCCACTTAATTTATGGCCCTTAAATAACGAATGGAACATGCTGGAAGAATGGAGGGAAAGAAATCTTATCAACTTAATCACAAAATGGCACGCTCTCCAACCCGACACAATGGCTACCGAAATGGGGCGTACGAGCTGCGATGAACGGGGGGAAAAATCGATATAACAACTGCAATTTTATCAAGTTCAATATGCCTGGAAGATAAGAAGTCTATGATAATTCTAGAGTAGGATTTTTATTTATTGATATTTTTATCAATAAAAGCTTTGTGGCCAAGAATTTTCCTTGGATTTTTGCCTGCTACTGTCGACCAATCGCTTCCCAAACAATCGCAGGCCATGAATAACACCATAAACATTATATGGTCTCCAAACAACAGTTTCCCAGCCTCGAAACCGCCCATTAAACCGTCGCAATTTTCCGAGAATGATAAGCATACCGCTGATAAAAGTGCCTCCGATTTGATATAACGTTTCCGACCTTTTCCCCGTGTAAGGAATGCGGAATGGATACCCGGTAGACGGGCGTGGGCGACGGTATGACCTGTTGCACTTTATAAAAGTCATAAGTGACTTGCTAACGATCAAAAAGGCGCTTGAAATTTGGCGAAAACGGCTCTGCAGTCAAAACAAAGGGAAAAAAGGCGCAGACTGGTCGAAAAAACAGATTCTGGGGCCAGATAGGGCGGTCAGAAGCGGTATTGTAAGAGACAAAAGGGTCGAAGAAAGTGCAAGGACATTGGCGAAGCCAGATGTTGCACTCTTAGGGCTCTTGCGGCGAAATTTTCCAGAAAATTCGCCGCTCTTGTGGCCGCAAGTTCGAATTTTGTAATATGCTGAAGGAATTTTGATTTTAATCATCATTTCTTGAAGGCACCGTTACTCAGAGCTCGGCAACATCATCAAGGACAATCAGCGCCACATCACACCGCCTTCCAAGGCCACGACCGGCCTCCAAATGGGACCAGACGCTGACGTCCCTTGACCGAAAAACAAACTCTTTTAGCCGGGCGTATTGTAAGTCGCCGGTTTTCAACGAAAGTTCGCTTCATATCAGATGAAAAGGAAGTGCGTTTGCCCCCCGTTACTTTCGCGGCCCTAAAACAATGTTCAAACAATTCGATTTGACCTTTTCGAAGCCAAAAAAGATTTGTTTAAACAGGCCTCGAATCACTTTCGGAAGCTGGAAGAGAGGAGAAAGCGATTTTTTTTTTGCTTTTGGTGGCGGGCCACGGAAAATGCGTAGAATGTTTGGGGGGATCCATCGATATTTGGTGGGAGAGCAGAGCGAATGTGGGTTAATATTTGAATAAACTTTAAGCCGAATATAGTTTAAGGACGACCTACAGTAGCCACAACCATAAGCTAATGCACTTTTTGAACCGAAAAAGAGGAAAACAAAGCCGATTTTGGACTAATAACTGTGCAATAAACCGATATAGACATCACAGATTATACATCACATATCCACGTCGAATGTCACACCTCTATGTCCCCCAAAAACACGAAAATTTACCTCATAGCAATGGCCAATTACGCAGAAAAAACAAGCAAACTTTGTCATATCCGGCCCACTTTTCGAAGGTATTATTCCCAATTTCGGAAACACCTGTGAATTGCCTAAGCAATTCCACGTAGTTTCCCTCTAATTTCGCGACTTTCCCCTTCCAGATTAATTGGTAATTAAAGCGGAGCAAACAAACATTGAATGCAATAAAGAAGCGTCTCTTACACCCGTTATGAACGGGGCTCCATAAAAACTAAAAAAACGCCTCGGACCGGAACAAACTGTTCGCCGCCAGCGGATCGACCTCTCTGGAAGAAAAGTGTCAATGATCAGACGGAAGTTGAGGCCAAAGAGTGGAGTATAATTAGTCTGCAATTTGTCTTGGGAACACTGTGGAAACCCCTCCCTCTGGGGCTTAGAGATCTTTGGGATCAAAGTTATATATACAAAAAGGATGAGAAGAAAGTTGGATAAGGTAGAAGGATACTGAAAGGCCTGGAAATTTGTAAAATTTTGTATATACGTTGTGTCTAGGGAGTACATATATGGATCGATGTAAGCAAGCGTTTACGTACATTGAAGAGAATCAGAGCGATAAAATTTAATTTGTTTTTATCCGCAAATTCACAGGCCTACAGAAGAGCCAGACAGCAATTGTTGGATACTTTTTCTAGATTGTTGAAACCAAAATATCTCAAAAAATTGAGCTCAACAAGTCTCTTACAGTCTTTGATATTCACCACAGAGGTGTGGTCTTTTACACTCAAAATATCCCAGCTACAAGAGCTCCTAATTACAGCTCAAATCTCCTCAAAAACCCAAGACATTAAGTACAACCGAGTATCCTTTAACCACCTCAAAAATCACAGTAAAATACGGCTCAATGTGCAAGCCACTAAAACACAAATTCAAGACCAAGAGTCCCTCCAACACACCGGCTCGTTCGCTTAAATGTTGCACAACGCCGCAGCCATAACTCAACGCATTGAATGTTAATCGCGGATTTTGCCGAGATTTACGATTATTTCTTGAGCAATAAAACAGCGGGATGACAATAGAACGTTTACAATGGGCGAGCCATGTTTTGTAGTCCAATTTGTAGGCCGAGTGCCAAGCCATGGGGGCCACAACGAAAACAGGTGAAAGTTGACGTGCATGTGACGTGAAGGAGGGAGCAAATTGGTAATTTGGGAGAGAAAAAACACTCGGAAATTAATGGTTTGTATGATATGCAATATGATTGTTAGTTCCGAGAGGAAAAACTGGCCCTTTTTTGAGAGAATTGCCCATTTGAAGTTCGAAAAAAGCCCTGATTTGCGACAAATTTTGCTCCTCGCAACAATTGGTTACAAAACCGTCGAATGGACGCAATTTTGGACGGCTGTTCGCGAATTTTGGAGGACTTCCAACGCCCGAGACCAACTCATTTTGCGCTGATCCCATTGGACCTTCGGAACAAAGACTCGTTAAGACGTTTAAACGCTACAAATTACAACTTTACAACTTCCGAAAAATACGAAACTAATTGATACAGGAGCTGAAGATCGTTTTATACACAAAAAAAAGATGATAATGGAGAGCAAAGAGTGATGAAACGGTAGTGAAAAACTGAAAGCATTAGTCCAAATTGGTCTAAACCCCTTGATAAGAGACAAAGTTTTTTTCAAGTTTTGAGGTTTTTTTGGGGATTTAGAGTCCGATTCCAATGGACCACACTGCCGGTAGAGCTTACAGATACGTTTCAAAGGGTTTTTGTAAAGTATAAAAAGTAGAAATGGTTATTTTGTAATTGATAAATGTGATAAACATACCACTTCAGGGTCAAAAATTGATCTCATTTCGAAAATTTAGATTAAAAACAAAAAAATCAAACTTGTAAAACCTTCATCAATACTGTACTACACCATTAACGTACCACAAATCACTGAGTCTTTCGAATTCGTCGATGGAGGCGGACTCCAGCTCCGCGGAGCCGGGCGACGTCGTGGCGGAGGTGGAGGGCGCGCTCTCCGCACCCCCGCCGCCGCCGAACCAGTTGCGCATGACGGTCATTGTGGCGGAGAGGCCGCGACGATGGCTGTGAATTGAGGCGTGGGAGGATGTCGGCGACGCGCCACCGCCAACATTGCGGTCCAATTCGCCAAAATTTTGATTCCAAGAAATCGCGCTGAAATTTTTTGATGATAAATGAGGGGAACGATCAATATGCGCGTTTTACAATCCACGAATTTCGCATTTTATGATAGAAAATGTAATTTTTCAAGGAAATATCATCAAATTCATATTTTTTAAGACATGTTTTATCGTATAAGATGTCCAACAACCCATAAAAATCAATTTAGAGACTGCCATGTCTATTTTTCCCAACTTTTTTGTAGGTTGTTTACGAATTTTTCAAAAGTATCAAAAAGTATCCCCTCAGACATGTTTCATCGTATAAAATGTCTAATCCTCCAAATTGAAAGAATGCAGTTTATCAAGTCAAAAAAGCAAAAAAACAACAGTAAACCCCATAAAAACTGCATAGTAATGACCATAAACCCGTTAAATGCCCGTTCGCCCCAAGGTAAAACAATAAAAGAGGGCCGGGAACATCCATAAATTAACGTAATTTATACCTTTTTTTCGGGTACCGACAGTCGCTTATCAGCCAAAACAACGCCGATAACGCGAAGAAAGAAGGGGGCTTAAAAACAAATTTCCGGCGACGAATCAGCCCGCGGCGTCGCGGGTGGCGCCAGAATGGTGGATCGAAGAGAGAAAACAACAGTAAATTCGAAAGATAACCCCCCGGCGATACGGTGGCCCCTGATGACAGGAGAGGCTTTTGTCATCTGTCGAAATAGCGGACTGAAAATGGATCCAGCGGCATTCTTGAAAAGAAGGAATCGGGAAAAAACATTCGAAAACCCCCAAAAATCACTTGATTTTTGACGAATTCGCGGCTGACTCAGCCGTTTTCAGATCATCTGATCATGAATAACATAATTGAATCAACTCCCTATCGATTCCTCGCACCGCCCGAACAACAAAATTCCGATGGCTAGACGAAAGAAAATAAAAAAAAAAGATGGGATAAAAGTTTCGGGCCGATGAGGGAAAGGTGTGTCTGGAGGAGGAAAATAAATATTTTTAATGCATTTATCACTAATAGAGACGTTAGATGGTTAAATGGGTCTTTAATAGTAATAAACAAGCGAAGAAAAACTACGTTTCTTGCTTAAAAAGTAAGCAAAAGTTACGAAACTCAAAAAAAATCTTGATTTTTCGCCAAAAAGATATAAAAAATTTTGGACTTATTGCAATGACAAAATAATGACATTGATATCCCACTGAAAAATATTTAATTTAAAACCGTTACCATCCCTCTGCATACTTAAAATGGGTCGAAAAACCCTCCAAATTTCCGAAATCATCAAAATTTCGCACGTTTCATCGCCAAACTCGCCGAAATCGAGTAAAAAACGGCTGCGACCGAAGCCCCAACTCTCGCTGATGGCGTCAGAATCCCGCACAGTTCCACGATAATCCCCGCAACCGCGTCAAAATGACTCCCCAACTCACAAGATTTATGCAAAACCTGGGGCGGTGGAAGGGCGCAAAACGGCTCGAAAAACTCTCTTTCTCGCCGCGGGTCACGTGAAACAAATGAAATTGAAATCAAATCGACGTTTCTTTCGCCTCAGCAGCCTGCGTCTAAACATAGAGTATAACATCAGTTCGCGAGAGGCGGGAGGAAAGAAGGAAGGAAGGGGGGAAAAAAGGGTAAGAGCGAGCGGCGAAATCACGAGGGCCCGCTTTTTTATAGTAGAATTCATACCTCATTGTAAATAATATGGGCCCGGGCTTTATTTTAGTCTGCTGGGGATTCTGCGAGGGAATGGGGCCCGTGCCGGCGGTTCTGTGCAGACCAGACGGTGCAAACTTTTTTTATAGAAGATCAGCGGCGAGGCTGGCGATTTGAAAGGGTGTAGACGAGACAATGGCAAGGTTTTGATACTTTGGCGGCTTGATAAGACCAGAAGACGGCTCTTGAATGGCAAGGCATTTCCCCCAAAAACTGTACAATTACTGTAGCATAAATTATAGAATTATGAATCTCAAAACGCCCTCTAAGCTGATTACAAACCGAAACTACGAAAAAGTTCAAAACATGATATCATAATCAATATTATGATACCCCGCGAAACCCGGCCTACACAGAACGCCCCTCTAATCCTATTAAATGTCGAAGGAACTCGGGTTTCCCGAAGACTACAACAGTTTGAACCCAAGAACATCTCCCGCAGACTCCAAAAGTATAATCAGATAAAGCTGGGAGGGGTTTTTTCGCGTTTTATTACAGACCTTGACCAAAGTTTTATGCCAAAAAATGTTTGGAGATAAAATTAGCCAGACAAAAAAGGAAGCGCCGCTTTCTACAAAATATAAATTTACATAAATTAACGGCAAGTCACGTTGTTTTCAAAGCCAAAACTTTGGCAAAAACATCTGAAGACGCTTCAGTTTGCAAGATCAAGCCATTTAAAAAGATGTTTTTTCAAAATACCCCGGAAAACCACACCCAATCACTAGCCACACCCAAATTACCGGGCCCCCCTCCACCCTTCCCTACAATCGCAACATCCGGCGGCGAAAAAACGGGACCGTTCGCTTCGAATGCCTTAAGTAAACACTTGAGAACAATGGTTTAAGGTTGGAAAAAACGTCTGGCCCCGCGGCTGTGTATACATGGCCCAAGTTTTGGCGCCAAAAATTGCGTCGTGCACTCTAGGGCCGGGCGATGATGTTCGGTGCTCAAGACGCCGCTAAGTGGACCTCATGACTCGCGTTCGAAATGACGTGCACCCGGAGGGCGAGTGGAAGAAATGGAGGGGAAATGGGGGAGGAGTGAGATTTGGATTGTAAAAATAGTCGTGTGGGCAAAAATAAAGGTAAAAGTTTTGGTAAAATTCTGATTCTTTATTAATTCTAGGATATTATAAAATGATGATAATAGGTATTAATATTAATAAAAAAACCTCAAAAAGAAACAGTCTTAAAATCCCAAAAATCTCATGATTTCAAGAAGCCCCTGTTCTTTCCAGCCGTCAGCATTTTCATTGTAGTGAACATATAATTATACACAAAAGTAATGACCAACAAACCCCATCCATTCAAACATCAAAAGCCATTCAAAAAATCAAAAAAATTGCAACTCTCTCCGTCCCCTTCATTCTCAAGTTTCCACACCCTTTGCACGGTGCATTTCAGAGAGCAAAGAGGCTGCAAAAAAGCGAAAAAATCCAGCACCGTGCATCCTCTGTTCCCGCCAAAAATTCCCCCCCAAAAAAACTTTTTTTGGCGCCGCGAGAAAGACGGAGAACTTTTCGCTATTCGAAAGTGCGAATTCTTATTTCTGGCACAATGAAAATGGGCGAATTATGATGAGAACGGGTCTAATTTTCGGCATTTTAAAACAATGCAAGTTGGGTGGGAGCCAAGGAAAGGGAGGCGGGAGGAAATGACGTTCAACTTGGTGATGAGGTTGTGGGGGAGAGGGTCAGTGGAAGAATAGGTCATATTGGAGCTGAGAATAACATATTTAGGGCTTTCAAAGGCGACTTCTAAAGGAGAAAAAAATGACGAGCGTTGAGAAAAAAGGGACATAGTTTGAGGCCCATGGCAATCATAGCGATAGTTGATGAAGAAGACGCTAAAGAAAGTGAGCAACTTGTAAGTTATATAGCCTTCATCGACTTGGTTATAAATTCATAAACACTATGTCTCTCGAACTTCTCAGACAACCCAATTTCTAGCTGATCTAAGCCCTCTATCCAAACTCCCTAAACCCCCAAAAATCATCAAAAATCCGCGGCGAAAGACGTGGAAACTCGCGACAAAAAACGAAATTCCCCAACGCTGGCGCGGAAGTCTTTTTTCGAGCGATCAAACCCCTTCGTTTCTCGCCCACCGCAAAACACCAAAACTCCCTTAGAGCATCGGTTTTCAAGTGGTCTACATGAAGCGGGAATCGAGAGGGTCAAAACCGAAGCGGCGGTGAGAGAGAGGGCGTGGAGGGTCGGGTCTCATGGAAATCAGCCAACTTTTAGCTGCGTGGCGGGCGAGCTGTGCGGTAAACGATCCCCTGTTCGCGCGCTGATGGGATGATTAACACACGCTGCGAGGGGCGTGGGTAGCGGGCAAAGGGCTAGGGGTAACGGGCCCAAAACATCCGGCAAGCTGGGAACAGCCGATTTGTGGGGACAGTGAGAAAAAACCATCTCCAAATACGGTATGTCAATAAGGTATGGGCCAAAAACGTGATTTTTGGCATCTTTTTGAGCTAAGAAGTGTTTCTGAGCTACGTACGCACAACGCATTTGTCAAAACGATTACAAATTTACGAAGTAAAAAGTAAAGTTTTCCCGAAAACCGAGACTAATCCGCTGAATTTGTATAACATTACCCGCCATTTTCTCGCTCGTTTCCCCTCACCCCATCCGTAAAGACGTTGTTTACGGGAAATTAGCGAGAATATTGACTAATGGAGATTAAATACCCACGATATCTGGACACTCTCCGACTTTCAAACCTTGGACCTGAAACTAGTTAATTTCCCCCAAAGAAACTTTCTAATTAGCACGTCTGCGACGAATAAAAATTCTTTTTTATTAAAAACTCAGCGCCAGGAAGATTTGCATCAGTCGCTGATCTTCCCCTTTTTCCTGATCCAATTCCTCACATTAATGAGGGAACGACAAAAAACGTCTGAAGGCCGGTGCTTTTTGCTCTGCGAATCTCCGCCATCTGACCGCAATACCGCTGGTCTTTGAGCCCCGAATATATAATTAGTGGTTTGGGTGGGGATTTTGGCTGTTTGTCAAACGAATTCTTGTTGTTTTATGGGCGAGCGATTGCGCCGGGAGAGACGGGGAACGGTAATCTGCGATCGGTGAGATGTGAAAGGTGGAAAGGCTTGATCCGTGGCAAGGTTTGGTTGTATGCAAGTGTAAACAAGGGCTACTGTGTAAACAGTAATTTTTAGAACACTGAGGGCAACTTTTTTGATG